AAAACGTCATTTTTCGACCCCCATTTGACCCCCCGGGGCAATATCAAAATTCCGAAACCTTACTGCACATCTACATGACACCACCAACCATCTCCCAAAAGATGATTAGCCTACTGTGTAAAATGTAAGAGGAGTTCAGGGAAGACGGGGCTTTTTGCATAAAAAACGTCATTTTTCGACCCCCATTTGACCCCCCGGGGCAAAATCAAAATTCCAAAACCTTAGTGCACATCTACATGACACCACCAACCATCTCCCAAAAGATGATTAGCCTACTGTGTAAAATGTAAGAGGAGTTCAGGGAAGACGAGGTTTTTTGCATAAAAAACGTTATTTTTCGACCCCCATTTGACCCCCCAAGGCAAAATCAAAATTCCGAAACCTTACTGCACATCTACATGACACCACCAACCATCTCCCAAAAGCTGATTAGCCTACTGTGTAAAATGTAAGAGGAGTTTAGGGAAGAAAAGTGTGACAGACGGACGGACATTAGTAACAACAATATACCCGAACTTTCTTTAGAAAGTGCGGGTATAACTACTACGGAATAGGAAGTTTACATAGCGCCATTAATCTTAAATATCGAAAAGTTAACGAAAATTTGATGATTAAGAATGATTAGATCGGATACATATTCAAATAAAAAATAAAAAAAAAACCCAACAAATTCGAAACAGCTCAACGCGTTTCACATTTACAATATCTACGCTTTATCTAATGAAAATCTGATTTTAAAACATTTACAGGAACACCATTTCATATCTCCTTATGATTTTGAAGGATTTACTTCGTATTGCATTTAGTACATCTCTGAAGGCATTAATTGTCTCTGACATATATTAATTTTCCTTTATTCATGTTTTCTAATATTTCAAGTGGCCTTTACATCCCCTCCCCCTAAAAGAAGTATCATACTTTACAGGTGTAACACGCCTATGCTTTATTGTTAAACTAGAATGGTTGCTTTACGAATTATGCAGTGTTTTGATGACTTGTATTTTTATACCCGCACTTTCTAAAGAAAGTTCGGGTATATTGTTGTTACTCATGTCCGTCCGTCCGTCCGTCCGTCCGTCCGTCCGTCCGTCTGTCACACTTTTCTTCCCTGAACTCCTCCTACATTTTGCACAGTAGCTTAATCACCTTTTGGGAGATGGTTGGTGGAGTCATGTAGATGTGCAGTAAGGTTTCGGAATTTTGATTTTGCCCCGGGGGGTCAAATGGGGGTCGAAAAATGACGTTTTTTATGCAAAAAGCCCCTTCTTCCCTGAACTCCTTTTACATTTTACTCAGCAGCCTAATCATCTTTTGGGAAATGGTTGGTGGTGTCATGTAGATGTGCAGTAAGATTTCGGAATTTAGATTTTTCCCCGGGGGTCATATGGTGTCGAAAATGACGTTTTTTAATGCAAAAAGCCCCTTCTTCCCTGAACTCCCTTTACATTTGACTCAGTAGCCTAATTATCTTTTAAGAGATGGTTGGTGGTGTCATGTAGATATGCAGTAAGGTTTCGGAATTTTGATTTTGCCCCGGGGGGTCAAATGGGGGTCGAAAAATGATGTTTTTTTATGCAAAAAACCACGTTTTCTCTTAACTCCTCTTACATTTTACTCAGCAGCCTAATCACCTTTTGGGAGATGGTTGGTGGTGTCATGTAGATGTGCAGTAAGGTTTCGGAATTTTGATTTTGTCCCAGGGGGTCAAATAGGGGTCAAAAAATGACGTTTTTATGCAAAAAGCCCCGTCTTCCCTGAAATTCTCCTACATTTTACACAGTAGCCTAATCATCTTTTGGGAGATGGTTGGTGGTGTCATGTAGATGTGCAGTAAGTTTTTGTAATTTTGATTTTTTCCCCGGGGGTCAAATGGGGGTGGAAAAATGACGTTTTTTGTGCAAAAAGTCCTGTCTTTCCTGAAGTCCTCCTTAATGTTACTCAGAAGCCTAATCATCTTTTAGGAGAGTTAAATATTTTGAAAATTATGTAAAACATCAACGTTAAAGAGTAAAAAAACATCGCATGCTGGGAAACACCTTCAATTTTTATGAGTAATTAATGTACATGTCAAATGTGAGAGTCATATCTCATCTCAATCAAAAGTTATAAGCAAATGCAACATTTTTGAAAAGTAGGTTAGGCTTCAAGGTCAAGGTCACAGAGTAAAAGTCATGATTCATTTGGAAAGATCTTATCACAGGTAATAATATACATGCATTATAATATGAATGCCCTAACTTTTCTCTTTCAAAATGATGAATTTATAACAATTTAATTTTTTGCAAGTAGGTCAAACTTCTAGGTCATATGTAAAAAAAAAACCATGCCATTCTCACAGGTAAATACTAGTACATAAGTTTAATATGAATGCCTTGTCTCTTCTCATTCAGTAGATATGACCGTGATGACCAAGGTTAATTTTATTCAGACAGAAGGACAGTCTGACATACAAATGTACATATTTCTATATGAATTGCATGGGTAAAATTGGACCAGTGGTTCTAGAGAAGTTAAAAATGTAAAAAGTTTTCAGACAAACAGATGGACGACACGTCACGACAGACGTTATATGATAAGGAAACCAGAAAAGCTCAAATGAGTGTTTTGAAAGGGTTACAATATGGTTGCAGTATTTGAAAAGCTGTTTTTTTCATGCAGAGATATGCATGACCAACATATTCATATTTTATATTTTCTTTAGTAATTTGTTTGTTTGTTGTGAATACATCTCTCTCGGGAATTTTTCCCTCATATGGAGACACCACCAAATAATAATGAAGACAAGATGCGTTTGTGAAACACTGATGTCCCTGTATGGAAGCCTATGGCGAAGGTTGAAGTTTCTCAAATATATGTCAAACTCAAAGGTCAAGGTCAAAGGGTTCAAATTGTTGGTATCAGAAAAAAGTCTTGTCACAAGGAATGCACATGTGAAATAAGTAATCCCTAGTACTTCCTGTTCAAAAGTTAATTGCCACGGTTAATTTTTTAAGTGGTTCAAACTCTTCGGTCAAGGTCAAACATATTTATACCTGTTGACAGTTCACAATGAATACACATGTTAAGCATGAAAGCCCTAGCACCTACTGATCAAAATTTAGGCCAAGTTTAAAGTTGGGTATTTTTCTTGAAAAAATATGTATCCTAGGTCAAGCGATCAGAGGTAAAAATTAATGGTAACCAAATAAAAGGTCTTAATTGTCACAAGAAATAAACCTATAAAATGTGGAAGCCATTTGTATAGCCCATCCCACTTAAAACTTATGGGCAAGGTTATAATTTCTGCAGACAAATAGACAGACATAATATAAACACAAGAAACAAAATATGTACATATTAATTAGTCAAATGGAAAAAAATATACTATTTAATTGGAATCACAAAATAGATTGTTATTTCAGGGATAGGGAGTGGGTAGGGAGATTGGATCCCCCCCCCCCTGGAATTTCCTTTGTTATTTAAACAAGACTAAATACTGAAGCAAATAAAAAATGACTTTGGACATCCTCCCCCTAACTTAGAAAACATTGACCCCACTATCATTGTTTTTATTTTGTTTATTTGTTTTCAGTTTATGAGTTTTTTTTCTCCTGCTTGTCAGGAAATTCTAGGCTTGAATTTTTTGACTGAGATGTGAACCCCCCTCCCTACTCCCGAAAAAAATTCTGGATCCGCACCAGTATTGGCAGTAACTGAATGTCACATCGACAAGGGGAGATAACTTCACAATATGAAATTCATCTAGTGTGGGATGCGATGATCTTTGACCCTTTTTGAACTTTAACCTAATCGTTTGGGTTTATTTTACCCCCCACTATACTTAAACTTGTACTTACCGACCTCCATAGGTCTGGTAAACTTCATGAAATATAAATCCAATTATAACACAAAATTTAATGAATTAATCCAATGCACACCATTCTGCAGCATGTTATAATGCTATTCCATTCGGAAAACCTTCGTGCCGTCGATTCCGTCACCTTATCAGATGAAGTGGGAATCGGCCGAGGTGTACCGAATGGAGTTTAATCTAAAAATATGATAATGGGTGACAACGTGATGTGATGTAGAATTTACATGTCAAGAACAAATTTTAAATTAATTCATAACAAACAATGTTTTAACAAAACTGTTCCATCTAGCCTATTCCAAAAAGTATGTACTGTGTGATTGTGGTGTCGAGGGGGGGGGGGGGATTAGTAAATTTAAAAAGGTCCTATTATGAGCAAAACATTTATCAAAATCTAATTTACATCATTAATAGAATTCAAACTGGTATATAATGAATTAAGCATGTAAAATAAATATAAGAGGTTCTGAGTTATAGGTCACAGGGATAATTTCATACTCAATTTGATGAATACATGTAAATTACAGGCACGTAGCAACCGGGGGGGGGGGGGGGGCGGCCCCCCTTTTTTTCCAAACATTACCTGTACTATAAGAAAATGTCCATTGAAAAGATGGTTGCCCCCCCCCCCCACTTTTTACCACAGTGTATACATAGCAAGGAAATATGGGGAAAAAATTGGAAGTGAAAGTAATTTTGCCTTGAAAAAAAGGTGGCCACTCCCCCCCCCCCCCCCATTTCATTTTTTTTCCTTGTTAATTTTTTTAGGTAAGTAAAAAAAATTTTCTCAGGTTGGGCCCCCCCACTTTCAAAAACGATGCTACGTGCCTGAATTATATAGAATTATTTTGACTTTTTCCTTGGTAAGCCGCACGTGGGATTGTGTATTTAGAGGCAAACACCTTAGTGCGGGTATTACTGTCTCATGACAGCATCTAGTTTAAAATTATCTCTGTTTGCAGAAAACATCACCTTAAACTGCGTATCTCAGACGTACTTCAGTATTCAGATTAATGTAATGTAAATTAATAATTATTATCTCTGTTCTATGTTCTATCTAATTCTGTAGGTGTCAGTATGAAAGACACCGGGGATTGACAATTAGATCTGATATAAAACAATTATCTCTGTGATTCCTTTTGTTTAATTTTACAGGTGACTCTATGTTAAACACAGGGAGTTCTTACAGAGATCTGTCTGGGATGTCCTTCAGTACCCCAGACAGAGACAATGACGGGTGGAGTGATAACTGTGCTGCTAACAGTGGCGTTAGAGGAGGCAGGTGGTTTAACAACTGCCACTACGCCTTCCTTAACGGTCAATGGTCCCCGGGAGACTGGTTCTACCCATGGCATCCTACAGTAACGAGTGGGACGTCAGTAAAGGGGACCACCATGATGGTCAGACGGCACTAGGTAAACATCATTAAATCCTAATATAACAGGGTTTTTTTTTTCTTTTTGTATTACTGTGAAAATTTCAAAAGGTTATATGAGGTTTTACAAAGTAAAATATGTTCTTATTCCTGTGAAACATTAATTTAATTCTAATTTTTTTAACAGACGAAAGATCATCCATCAATTAGACGAATCCATTTTGATCCAAGAGACGGTTTTAAATTTAACATTCATCACGGGGTTCTTTATTTTGTAAGACTGTTTAACATCAAGTGACTAAACAAATATGTTTTCAGGGGATAAAGGATTATGTAAAGCAATAAATTATTGTAATTTTGTTCTACTGAATATATTCTGTAAAAGATGTACTTTATATGTGTTGTAATAAATTTGAAATTAGAAATATTTTGTTGTTATTCACACTAATAAATGAAGATGTCTGGACGGAGAATAAAGATGTAGATTACATTATTGTCAAACCTATGACAGTGGAACCTGTTTAATCCGACACATTTGCAATACATTTTACTGTGGTGTCCGCCATTCAATAAATGCCATGCAAGAGCAATGTCATAAGCGAAAATCAAAATTTGAAATCATTTAAATTTATTGTTATTTAGGTTAGAGATAATTCAAGTAAGTTAAAAAAGAAATCAAATTTGCAAAACAAGACAAGGAGTTAGAAAAAAAAGCACTGTTTCATTATTTTTTGAAAGATGTTATCTTATATCTGCAACTGTCTTTGCAAATGAAACTTAGCGAGCTAACAATAATCAATATGTTTGCAAATACTTTTGCAATTATGAGACTACATCTTTTAAAAGAATGATTCAATGCTTAAATAATGACACAGCTAAAAATCGATATGTGTATTAAGACAATTCATTCTATTTTATGCGATGCGTGGACTATGGTTTATATATATCCAAAACTTTGATTGACTACAACTTGGAATTTTTTGTTAAACTAATAGGAAAAGTTTAAGGAGATAATGATAAAAAATCAAGATAATTTTGTGAAACAAAGCAGCTTATGATGAATGTTGTCGTTTGCAGGTCAAACACCAAGGTCAATATAAAATTATTTTTGGTGTTATTTTTGATTCACAGTGAATCTACCTTCGAAAAATAAAAGCTATAAAAGCAGCAACAGTTCAGTAATTATGACCGAAGTTAGAGATTTCAAAAGTAGGTCAAACTGGACAAGGTCAAGGAGTCAATATAAATAATACCCAAAGGAATTTCACAAAGAATACACAGGTGAAATATAACAGAGTCACAGAATCAGCCATTCAAAAGTCCTGACCGTAGTAACGTATTTTTTTCAAAGTATGGGGTCCTAGTAGAAGGATAAAAATGTTGGTATTCAAATTAAGCTCTTACCACAAAAAATAAACCGGTAAAATAGTTATCCCTTAGCACTAAATATCTAGGAGATACGGTCAAAGTAAACTTTTTGAAAAGTAGGTCAAATCCATAAGTTCAATGTCAAAGGTCATTGCGTTGCGGCTGAAACTCAATAGTATGTTTTGTCAAATTGATCATGAGGAGGATATCACTTGACTTATCCGTTCAATAGCTATGGTTTAGATTGAAATTTTGAAAATGTCATTAAAATTAAAGTCACTACTGCTAGTACTTACGAGAAGGTGTCAACAAAAATGAGCAATTATTATTTAACCCTGCATGCGCGGATCTAGAGGAGGAGGGGGAGGTGTCGGGGATCCCTTATTACACTTTATCAGACTATTGTTCTTGGGGAAATGTTATTTATTTCCAATAATTATACAATAATTATTCTTGTTGGGATCGGTTTAATTTTGATCAGGACTGGCCAAAACTAAAAAAAAAAAAATTCTCTCAAATTTGGCCATTCCCTTTCCAGGCACGTAGCATCGTTTTTGAAAGGGGGGGGGGGGGGCAACCAGAGAATTTTTTTTACTTACCTGTAAAAGTTGACAAGCAAAAAAAAAAGGAAATTGATTGCACAAACTCAAAATCCTATTTCTTGGGAAGGGGGTGGGGGGTAGTGGCCAACTTTTTCAAGGCCAAATTCCTTTCACTTTCAATTTTTTTTGCATACAATAGTACATTTCCTTGATATCACTATACTGTTGTAAGAAAGTGGGGGGAGGGGCAACCAACCTTTCAATGGACATAGTAAAGGTATTGTTGGGAAAAAAAGTAGGGGGCCAGGCCCCCTGACCCCCCCCCCCCCCCCCGTTGCTACGTGCCTGCTTTCCAATTCTTATACAAATATGATTAACATTAAACATGTTCTCCCTTGTTGTGACTGGTTTTAAGAAGATTTTAACCACAAGTCTAAAAAATATGCACAAATTATGTGTTTTATTTCCACAAATATATATATTTTAAATATTTCAAAATCTATACGGCTTTTCTTAACACATCAAGTTTTATTAAGTACTCATGTGATACATTCATTTTTTTTTTTTTCATTTTCTTTGAAAAAATACAATAAATAATTAAATAAATAAATAAATAAAATAATGAAAAGCTAATTTTGGCCTTTCAGTGCTGAAACCATTGTTTAAAAGGTTGCTTCAGAGATCTATAAAATAAAAAGTTGGTGCGGTATTCCTCTTTAATGTAGGTAACTTAATTACAGCTTAGACGAATGGGACTGGTCTTTTACTTTATTCATTATTGGTCACTTTTATAAAAAATACAAACATAGCCTTAATCCGAGATTCCTCTGACTCTCTCCCCTGCTTTTTATATTGTGACTTGTGCAGGGTTCGCACTGAGGGGTTAATTAAAATCAGAGGAATCTGTGTTGTGTTTGATTATTTTTTCCTGGGGGTAAATGCCACGTACTATATAGTGAAAATTAAATAAATTAGCTCAATATTAACACCTTTACACAATATATTTTTCAAAAGGTCAAACAAATATTTTGAATTGGCGTAGAGAGGGTCCTTAACTGACCTAATAAGACTACAGTTCATGGTGGTAACCCGAGACTGTAGAAAAGGGGGGGGGGGCAGAGGAATCTCGAATTAACTTTATTAACCTGAGACTGTGGAAAAAAGGGGGCAGAGGAATCTCGAATTCACTTCATAGGCGTCGGAACCGGGGGATAGGGGGGGGGCTTAGCCCCCCCCCACTTTCTTCCAAATATATACTTAGTATAGACATTGAACATTGCTTCGTAGGTTTAGCCCCCCCCCCACTTTCCACAGACACGTCGCAGTATAGGTTAAAAATGGGGAGAGTGGTGATGTTTTGAAAAAAAAATGGTACTGAAGTCTGACATCCGCCCCCCCCCCCCCCCCCCAACGAAATTGGTTTTTCGTTTTTGGGCAATTTTTTTTTTTTTTTTTTTTTTTGCTTGTCAAGTTTTTTTTTGAAGGTATAATTTTTTTTTTACACTTAGCCCCCACACTTTCAATTTGCTTCCGACGCCAATGAACTTAATTAATTGACCTGAGACTGCCAGTGTGGATATATCCAACGATGTTAAGAAAAAGGGGGATGGCAGAGGATTCTCGAATTAACTTAATTAACATGAGACTTTGGATATATCCAACGATGTTTAGAGAAAAAGGGTGGGGTTCAAATTTCTTATCATGTTTAAAACCTCTAAATCAGCTGATGGGATTTACTGTCTGTTTAAGTTAGATGCTACCGATCAGACAAAAAAATATGTATGTACATTCTGTTGAATTCTATCATTTGTTTTTATTTTATATTGTTCGATCCGCCCCAAGGAGTAGATGAATCACCGGGCTATTTATAAACCGGAACCTTCCTTTCGTCACGCCGTCGGCCCACTCGATTGGGACCCTTCTTATTCCAGAATAACCATTCTGTCTGCTCGATTGGTTTGGTAGAGTAGACTTAGAAGGCCATGGGACCCTTCTTATTCCAGAATAACCATTCTGTCTGCTCGATTGGTTTGGTAGAGTAGACTTAGAAGGCCTTCTTAGCCTTCCACGTCAGAGATGGAAGGATAGCATTCTAATATGGCGTCAAGCGGTTTGTTGAAAACTTGTGGGATTTTTATTATTGTAAATAAACCAAATTTAAAACAAAATACAGTTGCAAAGAAGTATTTTTATCATGTATGAAGAATAATTCTGTTAAGAAGCATTTTTTCTGTTATGTAATTGCAGTAAAATCAACCATTGAACACAATTTCATAATTTACCATGTTATATGGGGTGCAGATTTGAGCCGTAAATAGGTCCCTGATTTGACCATAATTATTTTATTTTTTTTTTACATACTCTTTAATATTCTTCTGTCTCAGACACTTGATGTTTTAAATCTTTCTTTACATAAATAAAAAAAAATTCCCATGCAATACTATTATATTAAATTATTTTTTTCCACTCTTAATTATCTCAAGTTTCCCTTTCGAACTAACATTTAATGCTTTAAAAAAACGGATTCAAATTCTTGAAATTCAACAACTGCAGTAATTCGAAACATTGCAGATAATATTCCATCCTATTCAATATCCTTCTGAACACTCGATTTAGACATACATATTCCAACCCCTCCAACATTCCCCTCTGCTTTTAGAAGGGTTCCAATTCGAGTGGGCCCACGATGTGTTGTGTACATCTCGAGCGCGCATGTGCGGGAAAGTGACTTCCTTGTTATTAGTGAAGAAAGAAGAGATGGGAAAGTTAACATAGTCCAGTTTTAGTCTGAGGAGAATTTGCTGATTTTTTCCTTTTTTTTGGGTGGCGTGGACAACACAATGCGGATTGTACAAGTTTCTGTGTTTGTCTTTGTGTACCTGGGGTTGAGTTTGGCGGGTAAGTTCACGACCTGTGTGTAAGCTGATAGAATTTATAACACCGGGCGGGGTGTGTCTCGCGTCACAGACGGGCGGGTGTCGCTCGGATGTTTTGTGAAAACACTTCAGCCTCAGGTTCAGGAATATAGAGGCTTATAAATTATACATTATACATTAATTATACACAGTTCATGTAGGAATAATTAATAATAAGTATAACTTGGGTTGGCTTAATCTGCTATAAAGTTATAACTGAAAGCAGTGTATATACCATTACATACCAATGTTGTATATGTAGTATGGAAAGGAGGAATGAGTTGACATACATTGAAAATTCATAAATACATATATAATGAAAACATACGGCTGGACCGGGAATTGAACCCGAGACCCCTGTATTTCTAGTCAGGTGCTCTTAACCTGGCTTTGATATCCAGACCGATTTCCTCAGTCTAGCCTAAATTATCTGATTGTTTACAAATAACTTATAAAAAGCCCCAATTTGATACATCATTGATCATATACATTAATGTAAACATGATGTATATCATGATTCTGAGTTTACATGTATATGACTTACATGAGAAATATTATGTAAATTTATAGTTGACAAATTAAATGTCCACGTTAAATCTGGAGATGAAACAGTTTTAAAATAGACAGAGGATTCATTTTAAATAGATTTACCATTGCTAGATGATTTCATTTAAGAAATGTTATAAAGTTTTGTGTGTCAAGTAATTGGTGTGTAAATTATACAGACTTTTCATGTAATGGGCATATTTGACGAAGCACGTTACGTAAAAGTCATGTAAGGTTTACACAGCAATAACTCGCACAAAACTAAAAACATTATTCATCATGTTTATATTTACATTTTACATGTCTAAAAGCACCAATACTATACAAAAATGTTTGAATTTCTCACTGTCCTTAGTGTCCTATACCATTTTATATTTACAAACGTCTCTGTAACCTTATTGTGACGTCACATTAGCGTACGTTTCTCTGAGTATATTTTTACGGGTGAGTATACACGAAAATGGTATTCAAATCAATTTCACAGTTGGCTTAGTAGAAAAACAGCGAATGTAGATATTAATCGATTGCTGGATGGTTACATAAAACATTACTGTATCATGTGTATGATATTGTAGAATTGCGATCGCTGGATGATTACATTAAACATTACGAGGAATTAAGTTATGACACACATGATCTACATAATAAACATCTGAGGTCAAAAAGGTCAACGCAGAACAAGAAGATACAGCTGAAATTTAAAGCTCACAACAGGTATGTCTATATGTTATTAGTGATACAGTTATTAATTACACACCTATCTACTCATATGATTTCGTCATATTTTGTATGGATTTTTGTTTGAAATACGTCTAATGTTTTACTATCATGAAGATACGGAAAATCGGAAATACTTTCATTTGGTTTTTAGCAGTCAGTTTCTGTTATGGTCTGTCTTAGTTTCAAGCTTTTTAAATCACTAAAAAAGAGAAAGATTTCAAACACAAAAGTGATGTCGGGGTTGCCAAAATGCCTTTGTGTTATAGAATGACAAAGACCATGTTGTTAAACCGTGTTTTTGTAATCATAAAAGCAGTTGTTTTCTTCTAATAAATATTTAATTCATTGAAAGTGAAATCTTACTGTCTAGTGTCAAATCTCACGGAAAAATTGAATAAAAAATACTGAGAGACAACAATATGGGTAAACAGATCTGTAATTACACTTAGTTTCTTCAGTATAATATCTGATTATTCTCTATCAAGTTTAGGTTGCTGGTGTATTTAAATCAATGTTAAATTTAAGGAAAATAACCCCCAAAACTTCAGCACCTCTTTCAAGTAATTATCGTTTTCTTAATCTTTTTTCCAGAGATTTCCATTTAGATTTGAAGCCATCAACCTCTGTATTTACGGAAAACTTTAGATCCACCCACAACAATGGAACGGAGGACCCTGTGGATCTGTATATAATATACGAGGGGTCAGTGAGAGGTATGTCAGTGTAACGGTCTGTCTGTCTGTATATCTGTCTATAATATACGAGGGGTCAGTGAGAGGTAGGTCAGTGTAACGGTGTGTCTGTCTGTTTATCTGTCTATAATATACGAGGGGTCAGTGAGAGGTAGGTCAGTGTAACGGTGTGTCTGTCTGTTTATCTGTCTATAATATACGAGGGGTCAGTGAGAGTTAGGTCAGTGTAACGGTGTGTCTGTCTGTTTATCTGTCTATAATATACGAGGGGTCAGTGAGAGGTAGGTCAGTGTAACGGTGTGTCTGTCTGTTTATCTGTCTATAATATACGAGGGGTCAGTGAGAGTTAGGTCAGTGTAACGGTGTGTCGGTCTGTATTTCTGTCTATAATATAAGAGGGGTCAGTTAGAGGTAGGTCAGTGTAACGGTCTGTCTAAAACTGTAGATCTGTGTATAATATACGAGGGGTCAGTGAGAGGTAGGTCAGTGTAACGGTTTGTCTGTCTGTAGATCTGTGTATAATATACGAGGGGTCAGTGAGAGGTAGGTCAGTGTAACGGTCTGTCTGTCTGTAGATCTGTGTATAATATACGAGGGGTCAGTGAGAGGTATGTCAGTGTAACAGTGTGTCTGTCTGTAGATCTGTGTATAATATACGAGGGGTCAGTTAGAGGTAGGTCAAGGTGACGGTGTGTCTGTCTGTAGATCTGTCTATAATATACGAGGGGTCAGTGAGAGGTAGGTCAGTGTAACGGTGTGTCTGTCTGTAGATCTGTCTATAATATACGAGGGGTCAGTTAGAGGTAGGTCAGTGTAACGGTGTGTCTGTCTGTTTATCTGTCTATAATATACGAGGGGTCAGTGAGAGGTAGGTCAGTGTAACGGTGTGTCTGTCTGTAGATCTGTCTATAATATACGAGGGGTCAGTTAGAGGCAAGATAATCTAAAAATGTTCCTCCAGGACAAAATGCTATTGATTTCCTTGATCCGTTTTAATTTTTTCATAATCCATCATCAAATTTCAAAATTACATCTAATAGACGACTTTCAAATTGATTTTCAAAAGTTATTCCCCTTTGCGGGGTTAATCTGGGGTCAACCAGCATAAGGCACCGTTTTCTCTGTATACATGGTAAACCTTGCCATCTTTAGGGGTCAGTATCTGAGAAGTAAAATTGGTATGGATAGGTTTTTTATGTTTTTTTTGTGTTTCCCCATACTCTGGGATACAGGTACAGATCAAAATAGACTAAGTCTGATAACGTTTGAAGTTTTAAAATATCAACAGGTAACTTTACAAAGGATAATGTGGGAAAATGACCATTACGCAAACAATGGGAGATAATTCTTAGGAATATGAAATTCATCTGATAAATACATTCTGAAATTATGGATTTTTTAAATTAATTACTTCTTAATGAAAGAAAATGGTGTATGCATCTGATACTAGCCAAATAAAATGAAGAAGAGGTGATCAAAACCTGAAAGGTGCATATGTAGAATGTTTCAAAGAAGCAAAACAACAAAGAAAACATGTTAAATATATTTGAAATCAGAATTTTCTTAATACTGTATACAGAGTTATTTTTGCCCCATGTTATTTTCGCTCCTACCTGACTGTATTAATTGTTTGAGATTCTTCTACCATCTAGTTCATCAGTAATCAATATGTATGAACTACGATATATCAGAGTTGACACTACTACCATTCTTTTTATAGTAGACTTTCTATTGGTCTGTAACACTGCACATTTTGTGAAATATTCGGATCCACCCGTTTGTTTTTCCAGGTGAGCCAGGTAGCCATGTCCATGGCGCGGTCATTCTGGGAATTTTTAGGGGGACAATCCGTGTCCCCGGAGACACCTTGTACCACATAGAGCCAGCGTACAGATTCTACGGCCTCAGCGAAGCACAGAAATTACCGTACCATTCTGTTATTTATAAGGATGAACATCTCAATATAGACCCATATAGGTAACAATAAAACTGTGTTAACACCTCAATATAGGCCCGCGCGCATCTGTTTTGACTATCCTTGTTTTATTGTAATGTTTGATAAAATAAAAAGTTGGTATTGCGGAGACCAATCAGGGAAAAAAATTTCTGACCTCATTTGTTTTGTATTTTAGTATTAAAATATCACTTCCGGTAACCATTTACAATGAGAATTTGGCTACTTCGTTTGAAAATACATTCGAGGACATTATCTAAGATGTTTACACGCTATTAAGCAATGGATAAAGCAGACATTTTGACCGGAAATGGAAAGTATATCTGTGATTAAAAATATTATCTTTATGTTAAAGAAAATTCGGAAATTAAAATTAAAAAAAATACTTCCCTCATCTACTTTATTGCCAATAAAATGAAAAATAAAATGCCGCCCTCCCGCATTTGTTTTGGAAAAAATTGGCCTGAGAACCAAGGAATCAAATTTAGCTAGCCTAACTATCCCTGTGTTAGCATCTCAATATAGACACATATAGGTAACTATCACTGTGTTAACATCTCAATATAGACACATATAGGTAACTATCACTGTGTTAACATCTCAATATAGACACATATAGGTAACTATCACTGTGTTAACATCTCAATGTAGACACATATAGGTAACTATCACTGTGTTAACATCTCAATGTAGACACATATAGGTAACTATCACTGTGTTAGCATCTCAATATAGACACATATAGGTAACTATCACTGTGTTAACATCTCAATATAGACACATATAGGTAACTATCACTGGGTTAACATCTCAATATAGACACATATAGGTAACTATCACTGTGTTAACATCTCAATATAGACACATATAGGTAACTACCACTGTGTTAACATCTCAATATAGACACATATAGGTAACTATCACTGTGTTAACATCTCAATATAAACACATATAGGTAACTATCACTGTGTTAACATCTCAATATAAACACATATAGGTAACTATCACTGTGTTAACATCAATATAAACCCATATAGGTAACTATCACTGTGTTAACATCTTAATATAGTCACATATAGGTAACTATCATGTCACTGTGTTAACATCTCAATATAGATCCATATAGGTAACTATCACTGTGTTAACATCTCAATGTAGACCCATATAGGTAAAACTGTGTTAACATCTCAATATAGTCTTATAAATCATCACTGTTTAACATCTCAATATAGACCCATATAGGTAACTATCACTGTGTTAACATCTCAATATAGACCCATATAGGTAACTATCACTGTGTTAACATTTCAATATAGACCCATATAGGTAATCATCACTGTGTTAACATCTCAATATAGACCCATATAGGTAACTATCACTGTGTTAACATTTCAATTAGTGTTGGCAACGAGTACCCGGTTAACCGGTTAACCGTCGAACGTTGCGAGTATCGGTTAGTAAAACTGCTATTCGGTTACTCGGATAAAATTAATTCTACATAGTAAAGGCATAGAAATGATTGTTTTATAATTTATATATGTATACTAACTTACTCATTTCCCTAATTTTAGGTACCGTTTGACTTGATCTAGTGCATGGTTGAAGTGAATCAAATTGTTTTTATAAGTTTTCACAGTTTATATAATTGATAGCTTTGATTGCTTGGGGTATATATTTTTTGAAGGCCTGAGGTATAATTACCTCATTTGATAATTTAACGAGATGCCGCCACAGACATAATAAGCTTGGAGTTGTAACAAAAGAACAGCTGATTCAAAATCTGTGAAATCACCTAAGCTTAAATTATTCGGAAACCAGCGATTTACTAGACACTCCACATACTAACTATTAATTATGGAGTATGTAAATAATTATTCTCCTTGATTGCGACATATTGCGGGGGCTGTAAAAGAATGTGTAAAATGGTGATCGATGATGACGTATTTATTTGTCTTTGTTTGTCCAATTCCCTATTAATTTTCTTTATTTTAAAATGGATATCGTATTTGTGTATTGTAAATATAATGTCCCAAGACAGTATATTTGTGCATTACTACTACCGATAAGTATAGAATAAGATAAATAATAGATATTGATATATTTACCAAAAATCATCCGAGTAACCGGGTACTCGATCGGAAGATGAAGCGAGTAACCGGTTACTAAAAATCGTCCGAATTGCCAACACTAATTTCAATATAGACCCATATAGGTAACTATCACTGTGTTAACATCTCAATGTAGACCCATATAGGTAACTATCACTGTGTTAACATCTCAATGTAGACCCATATAGGTAATTATCACTGTGTTAACATCTTAATATAGACACATATAGGTAATCATCACTGTGTTAACATCAATATAGATCCATATAGGTAACTGTAACTGTGTTAACATCTTAATATAGACCTATATAGGTAACTATCATGTCACTGTGTTAACATCTCAATATAGACACATATAGGTAACTAATATGTTTTACGGTGTGACCGTTGGGGCGAGCACAGTTTCTTTACTATCATAAACCTACACATGAATTGTCTATCATTCAAGAAATAGAAAGAAAAAAGAATAAAAGAAATTATTTTCTAAGCATCAGTATCGAGATCTCAAGTAAATAAAAAGCACTTATGTGAAGTTATCTTTTGTCTTTTCAATATGTATTCTTATATGTTCATGAATCTCCAATGAGAGGAAATAAAGAAAGAATGAAAAGGACATGAAAGCTAATCTGGATGTTAATTTTTTTATTTGATGTAATCTACATTCTATGAGTTTAAATGTAGATAAAGAATATGAGAGCTAATTTGGATGTTAATTTTTATTTGATGTAATCTACATTCTTTGGCAGACACAAGCGTGAGGCAGATTCCGAGGCAGCGCAGTGTGCTTTTGATAAATATAGAAACTGGATGGTCCGTCAAACGGAGGCGGAGGTCAATATACGACAGAAAAGAGTGAGTAGTTTATAAATAGAACAGTCTAAAAATAGAATAGACTAGAAATATAAATAGTCTATGTATAGAATAGTTTATTAAATAGTCAGAGGCAGAAGTCAATATACCTCAGAAAAGAGTGAGTATTCTTTGAATAGAATAAAATAGAATAAATATCTACATCACATGATGACATGGAGAAGTAACTAAAATAACTTATTCCTTTAATGATGAAGATGAATATTTTTCAAATGCTTGATTCAATGAAGATAATGTATCCCCTTTTCTTTTCAGTCATATTTTAGTTATAAGGACTCGGTCAGACACAATAAATACTCAGCGGAGAGTAACACCTACAATAATCGCCAGCGTCGAGCGACGGCCAGCTGTAGTATCGGGTCCCAGAACACCTGTATTCTCTACATGAGGTCCGATCCCATACTGTTCAACAAGTTCAAGTCTGACTTAAATGGGGTAAGTTATAACACCTGTATACACTACATAGGTATGATCATTATTGTTCAACAAGTTCAAGATCTGACTTAAATGGTAAGTTATAACACCTGTATACACTACATGAGGTCCAATCCCATACTGTTCAACAAGTTCAAGTCTGACTTAAATGGGGTAAGTGTAAACACCTGTATACACTACATTCCGATCCCATACTGTTCAACAAGTTCAAGTATGACTTAAATGGAAGTATACAACACCTGTATATTTTAATTACTGTTCAACAAGTTCAAGTCTGACTTAAATGGGGTAAGTTATAACACCTGTATACACTACATGAGGTCCGATCCCATACTGTTCAACAAGTTCAAGTCTGACTTAAATGGGGTAAGTTACAACACCTGTATACACTACATGAGGTCCGATCCCATACTGTTCAACAAGTTCAAGTCTGACTTAAATGGGGTAAGTTACAACACCTGTATATACTACATGAGGTCCGATCCCATACTGTTCAACAAGTTCAAGTCTGACTTAAATGGGGTAAGTTACAACACCTGTATACACTACATGAGGTCCGACCCCATACTGTTCAACAAGTTCAAGTCTGACTTAAATGGGGTAAATTAATATACTGTAGAAGTACTTTGTTCTGTGTGTTATCAATTTACACTATGTACACAATCACAAACTTGTCCCATCTCATTTAAGACACATGTAAGGCATATAAGGAGAATCTTAAGATATCCGCGTGATTTTTTACCTGCGGATTAAACAGAAATAGTTTTTGTAAAAATTTTGACACCCTCAAAAAAAGTACATCTACAGTAAAAGGTGTGTGATATATTTCCAGTATAATTAGTCCAATCTAATTAAAATAAGATGTTTGATCCGCTTGTATACCTGCCGCAGAGGGTCACTACAGAAGTCAAATTCAGAACAACTCCAGACTAATTGGCCTCTCAAATGTACGATGATTTGATTGGTTAATAGAATTTGACCTCTTACGCGACCCTCTACAGGATTTTGTTAGATGGTAGTAAAGCGAGTATGTGAGAGGATCTGACATCTAATTCTAATTGAATTGGGATAAAGTCATAAGAGTTAGAAAAGTTAGGAAAAAAAACACAATAAATTTTCTGGATAAAGTATCAGTGTAAAAATAAGATACATTTAGCTAATTGTACGGTGTTCAAAATAATCAGTTGTCTGTCAGTATACTATAAATGTAAACTATAATTTTCAGCACATACACTTATTCAACATGATAAATACTGTTTAATAATTAATTTTTGTGGGAGTTTAATTTTCAAGGTACGAGACTCACAAATTAATTTTCATATATATTACCACTGAACAATTCTTCAACCACGAAATCAAATCCTCATGAACGAATTCATTTTCCTCAAACCATGAAAATCTGACCCTTGAAAATATGTGATTTTACAGTTTATTATTTTTCTGTATTGTTCCAACTATCTGATTGGCTCAAACTGGATCACATGATCAAGTATAAAAAGTGTTACAGACTCGATGTTTCTATTTTTAAAATTTATAAACCTGCTGTTTCTAAAATTGGAAACGTTCTTCTGTGAAGCAACAATAGTGCTGACGTCACAATAGTCTTTATAGACTGGATGTTTCTAAAAACAGATACTGCAGCTGGTGTTCATTACTGTGACGTGATAATGCAATGACATAACAATGCCTTGTATGAGAAGGTACTGGGTATTATAAAGAAGGATTTTAAGACACTTCTTATTAACAGATAAAAAATAATAAAACAATTGTAGCCTTTTGATTCGGTACAATCCCTCGATATATAGACCTTAGAGAAAGCATATCAACCTCGCACTTCGTGCTCGGTCGATATGCTTTCTCTAAGGTCTATATATCGAGGGATTGACCTCATCAAAAGGCTATAATTGTATAATATTGAAATATGATATTTTTAAGTTTAGACTGTTTGACTATGAGGTGAGAATCTAATTTCAGAATGAGATCGCAGCCCGAGATGAAATTCTCTCCTTCTTTGCCAGCCATGTTGCTGCTATTAACGATATTTACGGCCAGACCAAATTCTCGCCCCTCAATGGACAGTCGCCGTGTTTTCAGGGCGTCCAGTTCCAAATTCAGAGAACCACAGTAAGTACATCACACACCAGTGTCAAGTCTTTTCTCCTTTTAGCTGCAAACCACTGATTTTTAGGATGAACATCCGACAAGCACTTGTGTACCGGTATTGACCTCTCCAAGGTAGTGAGGTATGCTGTTAAGTACATGTAAAACATAACAATTCAAAACTCTAAAATTATTTTGAACTTTGGATTGTTAATATATTAGTTCGAATTTCTAAATTTCAAAAACTCAAACTGCTTTGGTATATTGGAAATTGATATGTTATTTCAAAAATCTAAATTTTCAAATTTCCAAACAGGTTTTTAGAATTTTAAGTTTCTTAGGATTGTAAATGTAAATATCAATGTTTAGATCTTAAAGACAAGGCAAGTGATCTCTGTTACAGATTATGACGGACGAGACAGAGAAGTGTGGGAATGTTTTGGAGAAGACGGCGTTCTGTCAACCCAACATTGACGTCAGTAACTTCCTGAACCTGAATTCGCTGACCAATCACGACTCATTCTGTCTGGCGTATATCTTCACGTATCGTGACTTCTCCCACGGTACCCTAGGTCTGGCCTGGGTGGGATCATCTTCAGGTAAGATATGTTATATAATGTTAATATTTACTGACCAATCACGACGTATTCTTTCTGGCCTACATCTTCACGTATCACGACTTCTCACATGGTACCCTGGGCCTGGCCTTGGTTTATAAACTTTGTACAATAATGTATAGATTGATATGTAAACTACAGTGATTTTGGAATCCCAAGTTTTTTTTATGTACAAGCTTGAAAGGATTGTTCATTGCTGAACATGAAAAGTTGCCTTTCCCTGAAATTATTTTGCTTGTAGACGGAAAAAATGTTGTGAATTGCATAGATTTTTTTTTAGTAAACTTTTTTGAAAATTAGATTTATTTTTCAGCCGGTAAGTATTTTTAACATTCACAATATAGAGTCTGGAATTTTTGAATTTCTTAGATTGTAAAGTTGTACTTGCTTATTTATTATGTGCACGTGATGACAATAATATCTTATTAAGAAGATGTTCTTTATTAAGATTCAGATAGAATATATTTATTGTTTTCGTTATTATTGCGAGTATGCATATAACCCACAAAATTTTGAATATTCATTATATCATGAATAATCAACCACTTAATTCATAAAATATTTGAATATGCATCTCATGAATAATCAATGAAGTAAACTGTAAAATTTTGAGACATTCTTATCTCATGTATAGTCAATCAAGTAAACCATTATTCTTTTTGAATATTCATATCTTCTGAATAATCAAGTAGGTTTTAAAATTTTGGAATATTCATCGCGTTCATATTTCACAAATAATCAATCAAGTGAACGATTTAAATTTCATTTATTATACATTATGCCCTATCCTTAAACTCTTCTTTTTTTTTCTACCAAAACATAGTATTTGTAAATTATAATTATACTGTAAAAGCAGAAATATTTGTGGGGGATTAAAGTTGGTTTATTTCATTGTTAACAATTATAAACAAAATTAAATCCTACACAAAATTTTTATATGACTATATATTGAAAAGGGGTAGCTTCAAAACAGCGAAATTAAATTCCAACAAAATTCCAACAAAACTATTTTAGATGACAAATCAACGGAATATTACCCACACGAAAATTTGTGCTTCTACCGTAAACAATTCATAAACCATGAATTAAAAAATACATGTATTAGAAGAAAAAGTTTTTGTTGTATGTAGTGAAAATCCACCTGACACAACCAAGAAAAGGTCTTGTTTTCTGCAAGTGACTGCCATTCTATTATTTAAACCTCACTCTAAAGTAATGCCAAAGTGGAATTCTCCATCTGCACCTCTTTTTTAATGTTTTCATAACTTGAAATGCTTATATTTCATGCACAGTTTTGAATCAAATTTATTTCATCGAAATTAAATTATCCGTGATGATGTTTATTTTTAGCATCAGCAGGGGGGATATGTGAGAAATACAAATCCTACACGGAGGGGAACCAGCAAATCAGGAAAAGTCTAAACACGGGAATCGTCACCATCATCAACTACAACAAACGCGTGGCTCCGCGGGTCTCACAGCTCACGTTCGCTCACGAAGTGGGGCATAACTTTGGATCTCCGGTAAGAGTAGCATAACTACAATAAAGTGATTAGCGAATGCACTAACTGCTTAATAAATGCGTGGCTCCATTAATAATTTAATGCATTATATTAGAATTTTGAGAAAATTGTTTTTAAAAAGTGCACCAAATGATAGCTTGTGATGTAAGAGAGGTAACTCTTGTTAAATTCTAGGACAGCAACAAGTCATGTTTTGAAAAAAATGGATGTTTATTTGCTTTGACAGTAAGACAATGCCAAATTTTCATGTAATGTGTCATTTTTAATTTGATATGTAAACAAACAAGCAGTTACTATAAATCTCAGACTCACAAATTTTAACGATTCGTGGAAGAAGTTGTAACCCGGAAAGATCCAAAGTGAAAGAAGAATATTTTAACTTTGGGACCTTTAAAATCTTGGTTATCTATAATGTTCTTCGAAATGAAATGTTTCAATGCACCAGTTCCATTCTTTTAATGAACAGACCAAGCAAATCTTCCTATATAGTATGTTAGTTCAAGCAACATCTTCAGCAACATATATTTTTTATTTCCTCAGCATGATGATGGTCAGTACTGCGCCCCCTATGGTACGTCCCAGCCGTCATCCAGTCAGGGGAATTACATCATGTTCGCCAGCGCCACCCAGGGAAATCTGGGGAACAATGATGACTTCTCCCCGTGTAGCCGTGACAACATCACATATGTCCTTGATGCGGTCATCAACCAGCGGAGTGGCAAGGTCAACTGCCTAACACGTAAGTACACACTTACCAAAATGGTCAACTGCTGAACACATAAGTACACACGTACCAAATGGTCAACTGCCTAACATGTAAGTACACAAGTACTGAAATTGTCAACTTTCTTACACGTAAGTACACAAGTACTGAAATGGTCAACTGCCTCACACATGATAGGCTTTACATGTATGTACACACATACCAAGATGCTCAATAGGTTTTCAAATTGATTTGATAGTTGATGTTTACATTTGTGATGTGATGCATTACAGAGGGATGCACAAATTTAGTACAAAAAATTAATGTGCAGTACACAGACAATTTCTCTTGTTTATATGTTACAGAGTCCAACATGGCGTTCTGTGGTAATATTAGTGTTATATCTTACAGAGTCCAACATGGCGTTCTGTGGTAATATTAGTGTTATATCTTACAGAGTCCAACATGGCGTTCTGTGGTAATATTAGTGTTATATCTTACAGAGTCCAACATGGCGTTCTGTGGTAATGGTATCGTAGAGGAGGGCGAGGAGTGTGACTGTGGTTATGATACGGACTGTACTGATAAATGTTGTAATCCACGGAGGACGGGGACCTCTAACACTGACGCCTGTACACTCAAAACCAACCAAGCTGGTCAGAAATATGTATGCAGGTAACGTAATATAGAAACGTATACACACCTTTACCTTCAAAATCCAAAATCTTCAACAATTAAAAATATGTATGCAGGTAACAAACCACACATGTATCCTAAAACAACCCAGCCATCGGTTAAAAATATTTCTGCAAGTAACGTACATATACCGAATCCAAAATACTGCTGCTGGTAACACATGAAGTGACAGTGTTTTCTTGAACTGAAGAATTGGTTTTGTTTTGTTTAATTTGTAGTCCATCCCAGGGTCCCTGCTGTAATTCTGAGTGTGCTTATGTAGCGCAGAATTCCCTGGAGTGTCGAGCCAAGACAGACTGTATGAGGGCCCAACAATGCGAATATCCTTTTTTTCTGTGTACAATACCTAATGATGAAGTGCACTAATGTCGATTCCTAAATAAATGCGTGGAATTTATTTTTGAGTTATTTCATGACAGGCACCACATGCGAAATAGAATTACTCGCCTTTATTTTCATGGTGCTGAAATCTATGTAAAATCTCTTGACAAACCTTCCATTTGCAAATTATTCTTCCTATGATTTGACATTGAAGAGTCCATTCGTGATAATTAATACTTGTGAAAAATAAGAAATCTACAGTTCTTACTCTATTCACTTAAGAAATAAGATATCATTTTAAAGTTTCATTTGGAAATGGTATGAAGTTGGTCACATGATCAAAGGTGCTATAGAAGCGTAGATTACATAACAAACTTCCAAGTCATATGATTATCCCAATGAAAATCTGAAAATGATATTTTATTTTTTATATTTATATTTTCATATCTTATCACATAACAAAGAAAAAATGCACTTTTTAGACTTTGTTGCAGTGCAACATAACAGAAATATACGATGTCATATGACGTCACAATCAAGACTTTCCAATGTCTTTTTGCGGTTTTCTTTTAATCATGTGACCAACTGCATGTCATTGAAAATTGAATGTCAATTAAATTTGTATTGTCATGTAAGAAAAGACAAATGTATTATGTAAATATTTAGCAGTCTATTTTAGAGATAAGATTTTCTTTAACTCTTAATCACTGGGACTAAAGCAACATGCCCTGATTCGGTGAGGGAACCAGAACTCACTCTGTGTAACGACAACTCTCAAGTGTGTGTTCAGGGGGTAAGTAATAATTCTAAAATTATTTTAGTTTAAATTTAGGTGGTTTTCATTTTTTAGATTGTATTTTTATTTTGAACTCAAGTACATGGAGAAGTTGTAAATGTCTTAGAAAAGGGTCTATAAAGGTTTTAATACCCCCGCTCCGAAGGAGAGGGGGGTATACTGTTTTACCCTTGTGTGTCTGTCCGTCTGTCCGTCCGTCTGTATGTCCGTCCGTCTGTCTGTGTGTCCGTCCGAAACAAATTTTCGTCACAGTTTTCTCAGCAACTACTCATCCTAGATGCTTGAAATTTTAACACAATATTCTCTGTGGTATGCCATATCGTGGGATACATTTTCGCACAAATCCGATGTCAACTTCCTGTTTGTCTGTGCGTCTGTCCGTTTCATACATCACAAATTTTCGTCACAGTTTTCTCAGCAACTACTCATCGTAGATGCTTGAAATTCTAACACAATATTCTCTGAGACATGCCATATGGTGGGATACATTTTGGCTTAAATCTAATGTCAACTTCCTGTTTGTCTGTGTGTCTGTCCGTTTCATACATTACAAATTTTCGTCACAGTTTTCTCAGCAACTACTCATCGTAGATGTTTGAAATTTTAACACAATATTCTCTGAGACATGCCATATGGTGGGATACATTTTCGCACAAATCTGATGTCAACTTCCTGTTTGTCGGTGCGTCTGTCTGTTTCATACATAACAATTTTTCGTCGTAGTTTACTCAGCAACTACTCATCCTAGATGCTTGAAATTTTAACACAATATTCTCTCATGCATGCCATATGGTGGGATACATTTTCGCACAAATCTGATGTCAACTTCCTGTTTGTCTGTGCATCTGTCTGTTTCATACATAACAAATTTTATTCGCAGTTTTCTCTGCAACTTCTCATTGTAGATGCTTTAAATTTTAACACAATCTTCTCTAAGGCATGCCATATGGTGGGATGCATTTTTTTTAAATTGGATTTCAACTTCCTGTTTGTCTGTGCATCTGTCTGTTTCATAAATAACAAATTTTCTTTGCAGTTTTTTCATTACCTATTCATAGCAGATACTTCAAATTTTATTACACTCTTTGTTTAGGCATGTCATATGGTGGGATTAATTTTGATATGAATCTGATGTCAACTTCATATTTTTCTGTTCATCTGCCTGTAATTGAACTTGTGTGTATTAACATGATAGTGCTTATTTACATCAGAGCGGGGGTATTACTAGTGAGCATTGGCTCACAGATTTCTTGTTTTCTATAACTTTGTATGTTATATATATATCTTAAGATTTTCTCCTGATGTTTGTTACAATGTTTGCACGCTCTTTGACATCCCTCTTTTTCATTCATGTGGAGTTGCCACCACTTGCCAGTGGAGAGTTGTAAATTTCAACCTTTTTTTGGCACTCAGGGCCCCTGAGCAAGGAAGGTTGGATCTTTTCCGTGCCAGCACCTACTGCAACACGGGACCTTGGTTTATAAGGTCTCATCCAAAGGAACGGTCTCTGCGTCCCGCAGTGGATTTGAGCCGTCCAATGATTTACTTTGTTACTCTAGAGCAGATATTCTTAACCATGCGACTTTTCCTTAATAGTTTGTATATAAAGATATATCTTTAATGGTTTGGGCCATGGATATTGGCCTGGATAGCTCAGTTGGCAGAGCACCTGACTGAGCTATCATGGTTGATACCCACGGCCCAAACCATTAAATATATATCTTTACATACAAAGAATGATGCAGGGGTCCTAGGTTCGATTCTCAGTCCAGCCATACATTTTCTCCTTTCCTGTTACATATCTGTTTTCTTTTCCAGTTCTGTTCTGGGTCCCTGTGTTTGAGAATTAACAGTACTACAGGTCGACAGAGAGAATGGGAGGAATGTTTTATTACAAAGGAGGGGGACCTGACGGTACAACAGAAGGAGGAACTCTGTTACCTAGCCTGTAGTAAGTTACACAATGTTATTAAAGCCTCAGTTAGGGTTAGGTTGCCTGAGAATTAACAGTACTAGAAAGTCAGTTCATAAACTACGTTTACTTTACACAGTGTTCCCTAGTCTGTAATAAATTTGTTATACTGACTGTAACTACTACGTTTACTTTACACAGTGTTCCCTAGTCTGTAGTAAATTTGTTATACTGACTGTAACCTTGAGTGTAGCAAGAAAGGCAGGTCATATACTGTACGTAGTTTACACAATGTTATCTAGTTTGTAGTATGTTTTGTGATAAGGGTCCAGTCTATTGGTATGATGGACTGAGTTTAACATTTTTTGAAAATATCAAGACCCCTCAATCTATTGTTCCTTTCGTGACAATTTCTTATCTTTAAATAACTTGTTGTAATATTTTGCAGGAAAGTCCAATAGCACAACATGTTTTGCATCCAATCAGAATTTAGATCAGGCTCCAGAATTTAAGGCGCTGTTGGATGAAGTCAACAGAAATAAAGGATCGTCTGGGGGCGTGAAGCTACCAGCAGGTATATAGTGTATCAACACATACTGTAAAGTCACATGTTTTCGTGGGGACAGTGTTTTCCCTATAAGAACCGATTACCGGCAAAATTGACCACTTCAACTGACAAAAATGCCGCTTTGGAATAAAGATTTGTGGTAACATCCATAGAGATTCTGTTCATAAACCTCAGCCCCTAGCCTGTTACAATTGATCTATAATTCTTTACATTGAAATAAAGGGAAAACACTAGGGGTCACAGTGATTGGGATAAGCTAGGGAGTAAATGTGACAATGGCGCACTCCAAGTCAGTGTCAATGTGACATTTCAAAATTCAATGCGCCAAACAGACTTTTTAATGGGACATTTCCTAGTTACGAACTTGCTGTTAGAATTTCAGTTGACTTGACTTAATTGAAATTGTCAAATTATAGAATGACAACATTAAAAGATACAAAATTAGTATATTTAAATTCACAATTGTCAAAAAATAAATAATCACTGCAAATTAATTTCAATTTTTTATTTTTTGTCTCCGATGTTTGACATCTTTAAAATGAATGAAAGCCTGGTTTAGATCAATACCGCTTCCCTCAGATTCATGTTAAATTTTTGTTTGGTTTTTCCGCCGAGACTACATCAGTCTTACCGCAAGATTCATCTCCATTCGTTCTGTCAGCATGTTATACTTCTTCCGGGTCATTTTCTACAGAATTACTTCAATTCTGTTTGTTAGGATTGTTAAAAATTAAGAAAAGTCTGCCTTTTTATCAGTATGAGGTATTTTCTTAGGCAGCATGCTGCACGCCAGACACCAGTTTATTTCGTGCGCATTAGCCAATCAGAAAACACGTTACTGTTTGATTAGATACTGGAGAAAAGAAAGTCATAAGAACGCTTTAATTGAACGACATTAAATACTATTTTATCAAGCTTAAATTGACAGTGATTGTTTTGGGAAGTACTACAAGCGCTTGGGGGAAAGCTCAAAGTTTAAAAGTATGTAGTGCATGATTATATATGCGCCACGGTGGCGCAGCGATTTTAATTTTAATGTGACATTTTGAAATTTAATGGGACTATGGCGCAGGGCGCGTGCTTATCCCAATCACTGGGTCAAATTTTCAAGGTTTGAGAAACAAAGTATATACAGGGTTATTTTCTCCCCATCTTATTTTCGCCCTTTCACACTTGCAAACAATTTTGCCCTGTTTTAAATTAGCCCAGTCATAGTTTTGTTTAAGAAATTATACTGTATTCTTTGAATTTGCCCTGTTTGAAATTCGCCAAAATGATAGTAGGGTGAAAGGGGCGAAAATAAAATGGGGGCAAAAATTTCCATGTGTACAGTATATTGATTGGTGGGGATTTGAATTCGTGGTTGGAAACTGTTATGCATAATAATGCATACAGAATTTTACATTTTGTGTTGGTCGTAAGTTCGTGGGTCTATCATTACCTCGAAAACAATGAAAAGGTAACCCCCATAAAAATTAGTGCTTTCACAGTAAAGCTACCAGCTTGTAACTATGTAAATTACACAGAAGTGACACAAACCTTTAAAAGGTTCATGTTAAAATAAATCTACTGACAGGAAAATTCAATCAATGGAAGGTGGAATTTTCTTGCATACAGTACTGGTAATAGTGAAGAAATGGTACATATGTTTTTATGTCCCCAGTGTAGAAGGGTGGGCAAATTGCATGGCAACTTTCTGTCAGTCTGTCTGTTGGTACACCAATAGTTTCCATACATTCTCTTTGCAGAGGTTACACATGCTGAAAAGAAATTTGGTATACTGGTTTATTATAAGAATATCTAGGTCAGGGTTTGTTTTGGGTAGGCTTGAGCCATTTTTGACAGAGTTATGCTCCTTGGACTCTGAAAAATTCCAATTATTTTAATTCCTTCAGATAAGGGTTAGGGGTGACAAGCTCATTTTAAGTATATTTTACTGTGTACAGAATAAGAAATAATTGCTTATTATGTTTCAGGTTCACCGTGTAATAATTACCAGGGTTACTGTGACGTATTTTCACGTTGTCGAGGAGTTGACAATGAGGGACCACTACAAAGACTTAAAAATCTAATATTTAGTGAAGAAACGCTCACCAACATCAAAAACTGGATAATTGTAAGTATAGGCTGACAGTCAATAAATACACAATTGAAAAATCCCTGGATCTTATTAAGTACAGCGCAGTTTTTAATTGTATTAAGCATGTTAAGTTGACATTATTTACAGGAATATTTGTAAAGTACTGGTGGACTGATTTATTTACAACATGTCTGTTTTGTCTATAGGAATACTGGTGGGCTGTGATGCTGATGGCCATTGGTCTGATTTTATTTATGGGTCTATTTATAAAATTCTGTGCCATCCATACGCCGAGCTCTAATCCTAACGCCAAACCAGCTGTAAAACTGACAGACACGCTCCGGCGCAGACGGCGACAACCCGACCAACAATACAGAGCTCAGGTAAGCAAGGAATGCTGGGATAGGTGGGCGGGATGAATCCTGTTGTTACCGTAACGATATCTTAATACCTGTCAGTGTGTCTGGTTACTAACATTCCAATATTTGTTTAGGGTAAATAAAAAATAGATAGCAATACAAGTTTATAACTTTTGCAGTTAGAATAGCTTTTGCTTTGAGAGTTGTGAATATACATGTAAGTTAAACCTGTAGGAAAAAGTGCCAAAGGGGGGAGGCAACTTCTGAAAACATCTGAAATATGTCAAGCAGAGTACTTTTTATGGGAGGATTCTAATTTTGGCATCATGAACGAGGGTGCCGAGATCTCATATATTGAATAACCCTAAAAATAAATTGCGTTTTTAGTTGTGATAGCTTATTTAGTGAGCTTTTAATATCGCTAAAGTTACTTCTCGCTAAAAGTAAGATACAATTTTTTAAGGAACAAAAAATTTGTGTCTAGCTAAAATTTCCACTGATATGGTAAGAAAAAAAAAACTATTCATTTGGGGAGTGCAGGTTACAAGAATAATCTGACAAGCTAAAAAAATACTTAGTGGAATTTCTTTAACCTAACATAGAATGAAGTTAAGGGGGCTATAAGGTATATTACTGATTTAGAAGCTTAAAGATATACTTAAAGAACGAGGGGAAATCCCCTTCCACATTCTAATAAGACTTAAATACAAACGGAAACTTGATGTAAACAAAAGAAACCATATTAAGTATTACTTTATCAACTGAGATGATAGCATGTCAATATCTTTTAGAATCCAGAAGCTCAAGGATATTTATTAAGTGTAAGTATATAAACAAAGGCAAATTCTGTGTTGATAACCCCCACTGTAACCAGTAGTGGCGCCATACATGTGTATTTTAATTAAAAGTAACACCGGTAGAGAAAGCCTAATGCATCCATGTGTATTTTGATTATGTTAAACACAGGTAGAGAAGCGTAATGCATTCATGTGTAATCTAAGTGTAACACGTGTAGATACGTAGAATCTTTGTAAGCTCTCATTAACCCTGGTTTTGTTGGATTCTGTGTTGTTTACTTAATCAGAGACTTTTCACTGAATTCTGGCACGCCACAAGGAGATCCATTCTGACCAGTGTTATTTATTGTTACTTATTTTGTGTTAGTTCCTTAAGAACATGATTTTTCAGTTACCCTTGTAGTGTAAGAATTTAATGCTTTCTATGTTTTCATCCTATTTAAGCAGCTTATAATAATTCGAGCATCTATATAAATTTTACTATATGGAATTTATTTTTTCCTGTGTCAATGAAAAATACAAGCAAAAGCTTTTTTTGGAACAGTTTCCTTCCTTCATTTTTCTCTGTTCTGATAATTCAAACAATTGCGCATTGCTCAAATTCTATATTCCTTTACTAGTTAGGCTTATCTCAGTTATAACTGAAGCAAAATTTAAGTAGACTTGAAGCTTATTGTTAGTAGAGTTGAAGCTTATTTCAAGTAGACTTGAAGCCCTACCCAAACGTTATCATCTCCCTGGCGTCACTAGACCTTGATGTCAATATACTGTGTTTGGTTATGGACGCATTATTTGTCTTTGTTTTAAATCCTTGCATTCCCTGGCGACGCTAGTCATAAAGGCAGCAGAATTTATACACCGGGTATTTGATTTGAAAAACAAGTTGCTCTGCTCTCATATTTGTAATTTTGAATTTGTGAACAGTATTATGGTTTAATGGTTGTTTTAATATGGAGAATGTATAATTACATACTAATAGGTAAGTTTCCATAGAAATCATGCATAGAGCATGCGAAATTGGTTGCTCGAATGGCATTGAATTGGTTTACTGGTACTTTGTGATAACTTATGTAAATTAATGCCTACCATGACAGTTTCTGTAAAAAACAAAGATAACGGACACTTGATTTAAAGAAAAAAAATCTACAAACATGACAAATTTTGAAAAAAAGGCATAAATCACAGACTCCTAGAAATTCCTAGAGGTGGGATCAAGTGCATAGGAGGAGTGAGCATCCCCTGTTGACCGGTAACACCTCCAAGTAACTGGATGTCCTAAAAAAATAATACTTTCATAATTAACTGAGAACCAATTAAAATTTATAATAATTTTAATCATGGAAAACTTATGTTTTGATTATTTCTTATGATTCACAGTGAGATATCATTAGTATTGATTTAAGATAGTGAAAGGGAGCTTTAAAATAGATCACAGCTCAGCACGCTTCACATTGCACTTTGATAACCATGGTAAAGTTGTGTACTGTTGATCTGGTAACCATGGTAACCTCTCATACTGTTGACCTGGTAATCATGGAAACCTTTGGTACTGTTGACTTCTCCCTGTCCCTCTTCTGACTTTATATCAGTGCCGCTACCTCTGTTGTTTGTGTTCTATTTAGACCATTTTAAATCAATCAAATTAAAGTAGATTTTAGATCCGCTCTCATACTCGCAACTCAAACATATTTCAGAATCCCATAGAAGGTCAGATCAGAGGTCAAATTCTATGAACCAATCAAAGTGTTGCCTGCAAATTCATCTTATATTTGTTGAAGCAGTTAACATGAATAACTTTACTGTTGTTCCCTTGACCTTTGTCTTGACCTCTGCCTTGACCTCCATTGTGACTTCTCTCTTGACCTCTATCATGACCTCTGCCGTGACCCTCTATAGGATGTTAGATATAAGTGAAGCGAGTATACCAGAGAATCTTACATCTAATTTTAATTTGATTGATTTATAGTCTTAACTAATTTTTTCCAGTCATTGAAAACTTTGACTGATAAAAAGTCAATAGTACTTTCATTTTCAGTAAGAATTGTCTAAACTTGACCAGATATACCGAAAATATATAATTCATTAGTAGTTACTAGTAGGCTTACAGAATTTTCATCCCCCCCCCTCCAAAGTTCCATTTTCAAATGGCAATTACATTAAGTTTTTATATTTGCTTACGCTTAAGTAGTGATTGTATATTTGGTCAATAAAAATAGAAAATTAATAATAATTATTTTGTTTGAATTATTTATTTATAAGCCGCCAACCACAACCTCCAAGTTTTAGGTTTCTCGGTAAATACAAGCAATCAGCTTTATATAACATTAGGGTGCTTAGTAACAGTAAGCGGGTGGCGGGAAAACTGAGGTTCAACCAGGAATTTATAAACTCCCTGTATGCTATACTATATATAGTGTTGGATAGGATATGTCCAGGTTTTTTTTTATTATTGGGTAGAATTCTATTTATTTCATCGGTAGTTTGCATTTTGTGAGGTTTTATCAGAACATTGGTTAAGATCTGGAGGGATGGGTGGTTGTGGACATTTTTTTAGACTGTATTGGTCTCTTTTAGAAGAAGAACTCCATATATAGATACACAAAAACTTACGTAATTTTATAACTTAAATGTATTTTATATATTTGCTGAATGATGGTTTAAAATTTTAGATATCATATCTAAAAAATTAAGCTATAATATCTGATTGTGAATTTAATAGCAGTTTCGGGTTACAAATGTTATTATACTTGTATTTATCAACAAATGTCAGGGATTCTATTTCTCAATTCGATTCCTGGTAGAACTGTCAACGATCTTTGCTTAATTAAACTATTTTGAGAGGCACTATCTTCTTTCTAGAAAATAGGACTTACAAACTCAATTTATTTCCTTTAAATCATTCCATAAAAAGTTAATAGACATCAATTTAAGTTAATGGAAACAATTTCTGAATCTAAGTTGACCATTTTATCAGCTTCATTTTTAATTACATTAAATTTATTTTTAAAAAAAAGGGGGGGGGGTAACATATTTCATCATGAATATGATTTTTGGTACATGTATTTCAACAGCTTATTCTTTTTGTCATATTTTTTGGTCTTCTCTTGGTGAAACATACAAATTAATTATATTTTTTTTTTACTTTTGATTTGCTCACATTATTTAATTGTTCATTGTAGATTATATTCAGTGTTAAATAGCTCATTCAAGTGGGGGTTTAGATTTTGTGGTTTTTTGAGGTAAAAAGAGACCCATGAATTTCTGTGCACCATGAAATGTTTTTTCCTCATATATTAGTACTTAAATATTCTCCATCCTTAATAATAAATACTGACGAACCAATATATTTTCTCAAACCAGGAAAATTTGACCCCATATAATTATGCGATTTTACAGTATATATTGGAACTCATATAAACTAGAACTACATGATACATTGACTTTTTCTCTTACAAGCTCCCTCTGCCGGGTGTTTCATTGTTGTTTTTATTTCTTGTAGGGCCCTTCGGGACCCCCTCCACCATACTCAGCTCACGGGGGCCCCCCACAGGGGCATCGGAAAGGGGGCGGGGCCAAAGGCGGGAGATACAATAACTTAGAAATGAGGAAGGTTTGAACAAAGTGTGGATTTAAGTTTTATTTAGTCATGTTATTTTATTTTATACATAGTTTACGTATCATTTGATTGATGATTCCATTTTTTAATGTATTTACTCAATGTACATGTATGTATTTTCTAATGAAATTAATTGAATGGTTACTTCATGTATGAATATGTACTATTGAAGTCTATAAAAGTGACTGTACATACGTATTGTGAGTTGAAATGAAAATTCAATGTAAATTAGTTATAAATAAACTACTTACTTTTAATATTTGCCTTTAAATGCTACAAAAGAATAGATAACTGCTGTAGTTGTAGATCAGGAATATTGAAAGACTCGCTAATTTATGCTTACAAGGAATTAGAGCAGCTCGAAAATCATGATAAAATTCAAGACGTGCTTAAAAAGCGTCTATTTAATTTTTTTTTTCTATTGCATTTGTTGACTTGCATTGTTGATCAAATTTCTCTTTTTTGTATGCTTACAGCTTATATATATATATTTAATTATCAGAATTGATGATGTTCTTGTACCTTGTGATGTTGTAATACATTAAGCTTTTGTTACCATGTTTCAAACTTTGTTGACTTGGTGCAAGTAACTGAGTACTATTTATAGACAGTCTGAATACTATTTATAGACTGAGTACTATTTATAGACAGTCTACTATTTATAGACAGTCTGAGTACTATTTATAAACTGTGTTTCTTTATACAACATATCTCCTGATTTGCATTATTATAACAGTTTTTAAACTTTAATGTAAGATGGGTTTTTTTGGTTATTTTTCCTTCTGTTTTGATTTTTGTTTTTATCTTTTATGTGGTAAAAATGGTTTCTGTAACAATGTGAGTCAATGTGAGTCACTGGTCATATTTCATCATATAAATTAAATTTCCATTACATTAAAATAGTTTTTACGCAAGTACCATTGCTACCATGAGAGTTACCGGTAGAATAGTTTGGTTGTACAGAACATGTCAATTTTAGTAATTTATTTAATTATTCATCAAAGATACTGTATAATTATGATTTAAAATTTGAAAGTAGATTTAAATTTAAAAAAAAGCTTCAACAAAAGTAGGGACATTTATATAAAATTTTGTTGATTCCATGTCCAAAACCTACTGCTTATATACATCAGCGTGATTCATTTTCATAATAAGACACAATTGTTTATCATGTTCTGTAAGTTATTAATGTCCTAACAATGTCTAACCAATGTTTGTATTATGAATATGCAGAGCATTCGTTATCCTTGGTATTCATTGTTTATATAACGGATGTGTAATTTATACTTTAACATGAATGACTTTAAAACTTCAGTCCCCAGAAACCCTCACTACTTTATAACTTTTGTTATGTACTGTACAAATCTATGTGTATCCCAGAAACACCCACTACTTCATAACTTTTTGTATTGTACTGTACAAATGTATGTGTATTCTTTAAAATGTGATTTTGTTTGCTCTGGTGCATCTGTCCTTAAATTCATGTATTTTTACCCTCGCTGTTATAAATTGAGCATTACTTTGCCACGTTTTTTATTAAAGTTTAGATTTAAAGTTCTAAGGTAAGTTCAAATAGAACATAAATAATCAACAATTATTTGCTAATACGGTTTATTTAATTTTTCTTAAGGTTCATAAACCCCCTGCTCATTCATATAAAATGTTGCTTCAAAAAATATATCTTATAAATAAAATATAAACAATTATAGCATAGCTTGCGGGGCAAAAATTGGACATAAAGACAGTTCAACTTTGCAAATCTATAAAGGAATAATAGACATTTATGTCATTTAGAGTTATCTCTCTTATCAGAGTATCAATGTACCTTAAACTTTAACTTAAACTTTAAATTGAGCCCCAGTCTGTAGGAAGCCGTAGCAATGATAATAGTTTTGTCAAACTTAAATCATTCTCAGCCTGTTATTTTACAAGTTGAATCTCACTCAAAGTTTTTTTTTTTTAAACTTTTTTTTCTTTCGTTTGGGATAGGGATTTTGAATGACGATATACTGCGATTGTTTTTTTTTTTACAATATGTATTTCAATATTTTCAATGAAATAAAAATGCACACATACAACACCTTTCAACCATAATGTTTTGCACAATATCAAACATTTCTGACAAGTCATGCATTATATTAAATTGTAGAAATCATGAGTCTAAGCATTTTTTAATTAAAAGACTTTTGTTATCGTACATGTACCACAACAAACTTGAAAATGGATTGTTTTTCATGCATACTAAATTTTTGTCTTTTTTATGAGTTTGGTGCTGAATTTTAATTGGTATAATAAGTGCATAAAATTTGATCTTTTCTTTAAGTACAGAAATATATCGTAGATGGAGATACTAGAAAATTTTTACCAGAACCATCTTATATGTAAACGAAACCTTGTCTGATTCCATACAGTCAGTTAATAATGACAGACTCTATGTCATACCTTAATCTCTAGAAATATTGTCAGTCAATGCTGATTCGTGTTATTTATGCATCAATAAATTTATATGTATGATATACCTCTTCTTTTTTGTTAGCTCACCTGAGCCGAATGCTCAAGTGAGCTTTTCTGATCACATTTTGTCCGTCTGTCCGTCTGTCTGTCTGTCTGTCTGTCCGTAAACTTTTCACATTTTCGACTTCTTCTCAAGAACCGCTGGGCCAATTTCAACCAAACTTGCCACAAAGCATCCTTGGGTAAAGGGGATTCAAGTTTGTTCAAATGAAGGGCCACGCCCTTTTCCAAGGGGAGATAATTATGAATTAGAGAAAAATTAATGGCATTTTTAAAAAATCTTCTTCTCAAGAACCACTGGGCCAGGAAAGATAAAACTCATGTGGAATCATCCTCAGGTAGTGTAGATTCAAGTTTGTTCAAATCATGACCCCCGGGGCTAGGGTGGGGCCAAAATGGCCGACCCAAGTTTTACATAAAAATATAAAGGAAAAATCTTTAAAAATCTTCTCAAGAACCACTGGGCCAGGAAAGATGAAACTCATGTGGAATCATCCTCAGGTAGTGTAGATTCAATTTTGTTCAAATCATGACCCCCGGGGGTAGGGTGGGGCCAAAATGGCCGACCCAAGTTTTACATAGGAATATATAGGAAGAATCTTTAAAAATTTTCTTCTCAAGAACCACTGGGCCAGGAAAGATGAAACTCATGTGGAATCATCCTCAGGTAGTGTAGATTCAAGTTTGTTCAAATCATGACTCCTGGAGCTAGGGTGGGGCCAAAATGGCCAACCCAAGTTTTACATAGTAATATATAGGAAAAATCTTTAAAAATCTTCTTCTCAAGAACCACTGGGCCAGGAAAGATGTAACTCATGTGGAATCATCCTCAGGTAGTGTAGATTCAAGTTTGTTCAAATCATGACCCCCGGGTCTAGGGTGGGGCCAAAATGGCCGAACAATGTTTTACATAGGGATTTATAGGGAAACCTTTTAAAATCACCTTTCAAGTACTTCAAAGCTATGATTAGTGATATTAATATGGAATCATCTTCAGGTAGTGTAGATTCTAGTTTGTTCAAATCATGAACCCCTGGGGGGTTAGAATTCAAGCCCCCCCCCCCCCAGGTGAGCGCTCTGGCCCCTGGGCCTCTTGTTTATTTTGACTTTGTTGCAGCATTATTAGAAAGAACTTTGAGTGGTATTTATAGAAATGGACGACACATGCTACTCAGGTTAGACAATCTATATTCTGACATTTTCTCATCAGGGTTATATACAAGTACAAATATAAAAGTATCCGATGTTTTTTAAGCTCACCTGAGCGGAAGTGAGCTTTTCTGATCAAAATTTGTCCGTTGTCTGTCGTAGTCGTTGCCGTAAATTTTTCACATTTTTATCTCAAGAACCACCGGGCCAATTTCAACCAAACTTGCTACAAAGTATTCTTGGGTAAAGGGGATTCAAGTTGCTACAAAGTATTCTTGGGTAAAGGGAATTCAAGTTTGTTCAAATGAATGGCCACGCCCTTTTCAAAGAAGAGATAATTATGAATAGAGAAAAATTAATTGCATTAAAAAAAAATCTTCTCAAGAACCACTGGGCCAGGAAAGATGAAACTCATGTGGAATCATCCACAGGTAATTTAGATTCAAGTTTGTTCAAATCATGACCCCCTGGGCTAAGGTGGGGCCAAAATGGCCGATCAAATTTTTAGATAGGAAGATATAGGAAAAATCTTTAAAAATCTTCTCAAGAACTACTGGGCCAGGAAAGATGAAACTCATGAGGAATCATCCTCAGGTAGTGTAGATTCAATTTTGTTCAAATCATGACCCCCGGGGGTAGGGTGAGGCCAAAATGGCCGACCCAAGTTTTACATATTAATATATAGGAAAGTCTTTAAAAATCTTCTTATATCAAAAACCACTGAGCCAGAAAAGATTAAACTCATGTAAAATTATTCTCAGGTAGTGTAGACTCAAATTTATTCAAATCATAACCCCCGGGTCTAGGGTGGGGCCAAAATGGCCGATCAAAGTTTTACATAGGAATACATAGGAAACATCTTTAAAAATCTTCTTCTCAAGATCCACTGGACCAGGAAAGATGAAACTCGTGTGGAATCATCCACAGGTAGTGTAGATTCAGGTTTGTTCAAATCATGACCCCCGGGACTAGGGTTGGGCAAAAATGGTCAACCCAAGTTTTACATAGGGATATATAGGAATAACTTTTAAAATCTTCTGATTAGTGATATTTATATGGAATCATCCTCAGGTAGTGTAGATTCTAGTTTGTTCAAATCATAACCCCTGGGGAGGGAGGGGGGTAAAATTCAAGCCCCTCCCCACCTCAGTTAACTTTCAGTTCTGATCTGATATGTGCTTTTTCCTTGCCGATGTGCTCAGGTGAGCGATGTGGCCCCTGGGCCTCTTGTTTTTAATTTAATCCATTAGGATAAAACATGGAGATTACAAACAGTATTCAAGATCAAAGGTCAATATAACTATACAAAACACGGACCTCCAAAACATCAGAAGTAGGATCATGTGCCATGGAGGAGTAAGCATCTTCTGTAGACCGGTCACACCCGCCGTGTGCTCATTGTTATATTTGGAAGATAACGTAAAAATCAGTTGTCAATTCAGTGTAAAAACAATGGACTACATGTAAAAAATGTCAAAGACCACAGCAGGTTTTCTTCTTTTCACGTGTAAAATTTTGGACAAATTCTACTTCATAGGTCTGCTGATAAGGATACCGTTATGTTTTCCAACAGTTGAATGAAATTGATTACTGGTCATTTAAAACACGATTTTTTGAATTGAAAAATGGCGCATACTGGGGTATTTTAATATCGATTCAAAGGCCATTACAAGAGAAGTTTTGAATGAAGAAGGATATGGAAATAACAAACAGTATTCAATATCAAAGTCCATGACACAATACAAAATAGGAGCAGAGCAAACAAGGACCTCCGAAACATCAGAGATGGGATCAGGTGCAATGTAGGAGTGAGCATCCCCTGCAGACTGGTCATACCCGCCGTGTGCTCCTTGTCATGATCGGGAAATAACGGAAAAGCTCTCGTCAATTCAGTGTATGAATTATGGACTAACAATTAGTATAAAAAAACGTCAGTCAGCATTTGACTCAATGATAAATTTTATTTGCTGACAAGGTCATTGCATCGACCATAGAACTTACGAAATGATGACTCAAAACGAGAGAGCTGATATTATTCTTTCTTCAACTTGCTTGTCAATAATTTACCTCTGTTTAGAAATTGTTCATACGTAGAGCATGCTTTTGCGTATCGAATCGACTGAGATATATACACTCCGTATGCATGTATGCAGGTGATGAAGGTATATTACTGCATAAGTAAGGGAAATTGACGAAAGAAAGGTAAAAGTTATCACGTTTATTATATAGTTAGTTTGTTATATTACCATTAACGTTTTTTTCAAGTAAATTATCCAAGTATGAAACATATGTCTCAGACTCTGTGGTATCTTTTATCTCAAGCTCACCAAAAATATATCTTTTCGACGTAGGAATGGAATTTACCATTGTTAATTGAAAATATGTCGTCAATATATCTAAGTGTCGAGTTGAAGGCACAGCGAGTGTTTTCTTCTTTTTACGACTTAGATTTTGCATAAATCCTGTTTTGATGAATACAAAATAATAACGGAGCGCAATTGGTACCTAGGGGAATTCCAAAAGATTGTTGGAATACCTGGTCTCCAAAAACCACATAGATATTGTCAATAAGAATCTCTAGCGTCTTTTTGATGTCAACTTCAGAATACATCTGTGTCCAGTCAGAATGTGTTTTAACAAAATAATTTTGCAAATGACCAATGACCAGGTAAGTATGAGTTCCATTTTTATTGAAAAAGCAGCTTTCAATGATATCAAAAAGCCTGGACTTTAATTTATTGTGAGGAATGATTGTTTAGTCTATTTGAGCCAAAGAGCCAGGTGTGGTTTAAATAAATTTTTCAATGTCATTTTTGTCATTGTTTTTCATATATTTATTTTCTCCAGAACCCTTGGGGTATTTTCAACCAAACTTCAGCACGGAGTATTCTTTGGTACTGGGAATTCAAATGTGTTCCACGAAATTAAGGATGCACGACAAAGTCGAATGAAGGATAATTAAAAATATTTAGAAGTGCTAGGGGTCACATACTATAGACTATAGGGAATAACTAACAACTTAATTGTGTACTAAACGAAATAAACATATCGGTCCAATTGTTTAATTGTTAAATTTCCTTTTAAATGTTTTAATATCCCACTATACCCATTTACGATCTTCTTCAAATCCACTTAAGAGGAATTTATGAACCGAAGAAGACTATTGTCATATTAGTTAATGTTACAGGGATTTCAACACCCTTGCTTTAAGTTAGGTAATTATAAATTCTGTGATCTCTGATATGACCATGATAGGCCTACTGCGAAACAAGACTTCAGTTTATACAGTTTTATTTGAACGAAGGATTTTTTTCTAAACCATTCAGGAACCTGCAACTTATAAATTAGATTCTTATTTCACGATTCTAAAGGAAACCGTCCAACCACTGTTAAATTATGATAAACATCATAAAAAAAATTTATAAATCTGATATTAAAATTTGCTGCACTCCACCGGCAAGTGATGGCGTCTTCAAATGAGTGAAAAATTTTGAAGAATGACGTAAAACAGCATAAAGACGAATAAATTAAAATTCTGATATTTTTTTTATTATAAATTAAAATACATGTCTTGGCGGTTGCGACCGGTCGGCAGGGGATGCTTACTCCTCCATGATACCTGATCCCACCTCTGATACTTTAGAGGTCTGTGTTTGCTCTGCTCCTATTTTGTATTGTTTTATGGACTTTTGAATTCGAATACTGTTTGTTATCTCCATATATTTCATTGTTTCAATATTCTAAATAAAAGAACTAGGAAGTCATTAATACTATCGATGATATATTGATTAGTATATGTATCTACAATCCTGGGTAGCCATACAGTGTTTCTTTTACCTGTATTTACCTATCTCACCTGTATAATTTACTGTCACCTATTGTTTCAAAATTCTAAATAAAAGAACTAGGAAGTTATTTGAGTTTTATCGATGATATATTGATTATTATATGAATCTGCAATCCTGGGTAGCGAGGCAGTGTTTTTTTTTACCTGTATTTACTTATCACACCTGTATAAATCAATGTCACCTATCCCCACCTGCTGCGTTATCTCCGATTGTTTGGTCCCTCCCCGTTATCAGATCCCGGAAGTTCTTGGCCGCCATTACTACACAGGATGTTATTGTCCTAGCCTGGTCATGAGACTCCTTATTTTGTCCACTGTCATTCTAATTTATATAATTCATATTATAAATGCAGGTAAGTAGATAAAATACAATAATTAAAATTCAATTAGTCTCCAAATTATTACATTTATCAATGTTCATCTTCAAAACAATTGTCAAAGATACTGTTTCAAAATTATCTTTGCAATTTACATTAAGATTCTGTGATTCTGATTAATATTACAAATGCAGGTTAGTAGACAAAATAAAGTAATTAAAATTCAATTAGACTCCATATTCAAATTATTACATTCATTAACGTTCAACTACAGATCAATTGTCAAAGATATTTTCGATAACATTATCTTAATGTGTATGATATTGAATAATAATCTCTTTGCAGTACTTTTAATCTACTCAATTTATTTTTTTTTATTGGATGATTAAAGTCTTTCCCGGCAACATGGAATTTTAATATATCCTGTTACCTGTTACATAATCTTTAAATTTCTCTTATCAAGTCTGGTATATTTTATAATCATAGCAGTGAGAGAAAAGCAAAAATAGAAAAAAAGACAAAAAAATTTAAAAGAGAGACTTGACTGTTTACTTCAAGATTGTTTGATAATTTTATGATTAAAACGTATTGTTACATGTATATGTCAAATTTGGAGCACAGAAAACAGGACAACGTTTATCTTAAAATACATGTATTGAGTAGTAACATTCGTACTAATAGAATCCTTGACTTAACGTGACTTGAGAATCTGACTTTGTGTACATTGACGGAATTTAAATGTCCTTTTTATATAAATATAGAATTTTGCAAGAACCAATCAAATATTGCTCATACTAATACATTCAGCAATCCCTTCGTGAGCTAGGTAAAGAAATGTCTTCCCTGTATAAACATTTGCTTTCTTAAAAGTTACATTTATTAACCCTGTATTGATTGTCTTTAAAATCCTTATGTCTAGTAGAATGTATTTAGATTTTTGTTAGATGTATATGTTTGATATTTGTTTTCGTAATATAATTATGTAGATATAAAAGATGAGATAATTTTAAAACAGTACATATTTTGCAACTCCCTTTATAAAGATGTTCAGTTTATATACACTTCATTTAAACTACACTTTCGGAAACTAGCATGCAAAAAATAAACGAAGCCATAAAAGGGGTGGGCAGTTTTTTTTCATCGCACTAACAAAATAACAAAAGTTGCGCAACAAAAAGAAAGATTTTTATTGGATAAAGAAAATCCGTAACCATGGTAATTATCCGACAGTGTAATTAAACTAGATTTATCATAGCGGCATAAATGATAATATTGTTTTTTTGTGGTTTTTGTCTAAAAACTTATTTGTGATAAAGTATTATCTATATAAAATATTAAAAATCCTTCGAATATGTTAACTTTTGTAAATTGACTTGGCGGTAAGCGGGAGAACAATGCTTTCATTCGCAGTTTTTGAAGATGGGGAAATATTCAAAGATATGCAAACGTCAAGAGCTATAATAAATCTCAAAGTAAAAGATCCCAATCATTGGCTCACATTTCTGTTCATTTTGAATTTCTTTGCCTGATCAAATTTTTTTTTATTGGAGTGAGCATCCTATGTCTTCCGTGTGCTCCTTGTCTTGATCAGGAAATATACCGGGGAAAATCTGTCGACAATTCAGTGTGTATAAAGTGGCCTAATAATTAGTATAAAAAACGTCAGTTAGCATTTGTTTCCATGATAAATTATATTTGCTGACAAAATAATTGCTTCGACCATAGAACTTTTGAAATTATGACTTTTATAAAAAAAAAAGAAGACTTTTTTGTTTCAGCAAATTGTTTGTCAATTATTTATTCATTTTATTTCTCTAATACATATTAAATACTTCTGTATTTTAAAGTACATGTATACGTATCCAACATTTTAATATTGTTATACTGATATTTGTTTCAGGAATTTTGCACTCTAGTGTGGAAATGAATTGACTAAAAAACATCACGGATTGGTTAAAAATGAAGCATGTTGGCGTATATACACTACTCCTAAGACGACCCCAAAAAAGATTCAAAATTTTCTGCAATATACTTTCTCTTTCTTAAGAGTACTTAAACATTTGATAATTTTTAATACATATGTATTTACTTGATCAGTCTGACTAATACGAGCCACTACTATTTCACTTCATAGTAGGGACTGGCTTTAGTCAGACTGTTCTATTAATAAACTTATATGTTAAGAAAAAGACACCGGACTAGAAAAACTTAACATGTACTGACAACGGACGTTTTGATTATAAATTGCGATTTCTTAAAGTCTAATATCGAGAATAGACTGTCAGTTGTCTAACACATGTAAAAAAAAATAAGTTTTTATTCATATTTCAAAATAAAAGGACCATTTTAATAAATTTTACATCAGAAATATCTACATTTCAAGCTGGCGATCATAAATTCACACACTGGGATGTGATTGCCAACCAAAACTTCTCAAAATGTTTTGTAGATATCAAATAGATTAATCTTTGTATGGAATACTGAATGTTGTATCTCTTCCCCAAAATTTAAATTAAATCTCGAAATTGGTCAAAAACGTCATATTTTAGGCATTATGTATAAATTTTTGTATGTTTTTAATGACAACGGACGGATATTATCATAACCTTACCTGTCATGACAACGAGCCATTTTCAGTGCTTAACTTTAAAACTTTCTGACAACGGTACTGTCAAAATCTGTATAAATTTTTGTCACTTCAGATCCAATTTTTGTGAAATTTTGAATGAAAAATTAAAAACAATTTGGTTGAACGTTTTCATCTATTTTAACATTAAAGTTGTTATTTTCAATTCTTTTGACAAATTTTGTACCATGCATCATCTGTCCTTAATTCAATTCATATTTTATATATCCAAAATATTAATGCAGATAACGAACAGTATTTAACCTCAATAGTCCATAAGACAATACAAAACTGAAGCAGAGCAAACATGGACCTCTAAAACATTAAAAGATATAATGGAGGAGTGAATATTCCCTACTTCGCGATTTTATTGCAGGCGCTTTAACCCCCTTCTCAACAGTCACGCATTTTAACGCATACACCATTTCCTATTTCTGAAGCAAAATCACGTTATTACCGTTTCCCCGCAATCACGCATTTTCACGCAGTTTAAAAAGTTCATAAAATGTTTAATTTATTGACAAATCCCAACTATTTCATACTTGCTTAATCTCATAAAATAAGAAAAATTATTTTCAAATTAAAATATTACGTCATGATATTATTAACGCTAAACTTTAGAGAAACGTGTACCCTGCTAGAAAGTGCTTGCGGGGAAATGGTATCGTAATATTTCTATGACGTGGGGTTTTAGTTTATTTTGCATAACAATTTTGTAAGTTGTAAAGTTTTAATCTCACAACGGTGTTATATCTAAAATCCTCTAATAACACCTTACGTGTTACTACCCTGCCTCATTTTAAAAAAAATAGCCTTCCCAGACCATAACTTCAGAATCAAAAGTTTAAATTTAAACACAATTTTTAAGTGAAGTTTTGAAGTTTTGCTTTGCAAGTATGAGAATTTGACGAAGGAAAAGCTAAATTATCTAAAATGCTATCATTCAAACAAGGTTTTAAAGTTAGTATTAAATTCTGAATTTTAAAATGACGTCTTAGTTAAGATAAACGTTATCAGTAAATGTGATGTCGTTTACTTCAAATATTAATTTTAGAATTATTTCATGTCGTTATATAAGTGAAACTTAATTCAATCGTAGAGTTCTACATAAATATCGGACTGAAAGCCACACTCATTACGTTCTTGAAATATAAGAAATTTGAATAAAATATTTAAAACAGTTAAATTTTAATATAGTAGCAAACTTAGATCGTAATTCCGGCAGAATTCGTAATATCAGATATCACAATCTTACATATAGATGCTGTAGAATACTAATATAATACAATTGTAGACTACCTTATGCAATATCGATACTCACTCCTCCACTGATCATGATCCAACCTCTGATATTTTGAAGGTCTGTGTTTGCTCTGCTCCTATTTTTATTGTTTTATGAACACTTGATGTTGATTACTGCTCGTTATCTTCATATATTTCATTTAAAGTGTATGTTAATTTGAGTTCTCATTTATCTTCTCCTCCTCTTCCCAGGTAATATTTATGTCCCTCAGTTCTTTTTCCACTGTTCGCCTCCATGATGTTTTTTGGAAGACCAGTCCTTCTTTTTCTTACTGGGGTTCATCTTGTCACACTTCTGATATCATTTCTTTGTCTATCCATCTCCAGGTCCATCGTAGTGTCACACTTCTTATAATCTATCTTTTCCATCTAATATAAGTGCCTTTCTTCTGACATTATTTCTTTTCCTATTCAACTCCATCTCAGTAAAGTAAAAATATCTGATGTTTCCTTGTTTCTTATATTTTTTTGTTGCTGATTCTTTTTGGTCATTATATCCTCAAGATCTTCCCCAGGCACCTGTCATAGAAACTTGATAGCTTGTAAATCCTTACCTACAGCTCAACAAACTTTTAAAGCTCACATGGTTTTTCGCACAAATTAAGGTCACATTGTTGTAATAAAAGTTACCATTTTGGAACTGCAGTACAATGGCATAACCTTTTGTTATATTACATATAAAATGTCAAGCATAAATGTCTTTTAAAATCATAATCTTAAGTTTCCAAAGTAGATGTTTTAAAGGAAAATTTATAAATAAATGGTAAGATGTTTCGACTATACGATTCTACAATAGGTTTTTACAAATTATATAAAATGAGCTTCCCTTGATCCCATGTAGTTGAAAATTTTAAATTTTCTTTTTAAAGGTGAGCATTTTTAAAAAAATCATTGCTCATTTACCATACTCCTCTTTGTTTCGTCGAAATGTAGCGCCAAAAAGCGATAATATTGCATCAGGAAACCACACTAAAGGGTAGGATAATGAAGTATTGTTTATTTTTTTTTAATAGTAGATTCCTTTTATGAAACGGAAATTCTTCTGCATTTACGGTTTGAAACGTTAAAATTTTGCAGTGGGATGAATCTTTCATGATTCTAGATTTTAGAAGTTGACTCTTAAAAATCCCACCTTATTAACATAGAAAGCAGTCACACAGATGAAAAATACTATTATCACATCGAGTTCAGGAATCAAAATGTAATGAAAAAACAAGTTACTGTAATTGTAATGTACCTATGTCTACGTTTCTGCCAAGAGCTATTGCTTTCAAAAGAACGGATAAAAAGACAGTTACAATTGGCAAGAAACTACAAAAATTCAAATGAGAATAGTTGTTATTTTTCAGTTATGAATATATCAAAATTCTACCAATTGATTTGTATGAATTATGTTTCAGTAAATGAAATAAAACTCAAATAATGTACACAAAATACTTTTAAAATGTATTTTGTTGTCTCGATACACAATATCATATCATATCAATGTGACCTTAATTTGTGCGAAAATCCATGTGAGCTTAAAAAGTTTGTTGAGCTGTATATCATCAATCCAATTGGTAATTAATTTTGCTTTATTAAATCTTTTAACTATTTTAATTTTTGCTACAGAACAGCGGATTTTAAATGATTACATACGACATTACGAGGAACTACGATATGATACAGAACAATTTCATAAGGACCATCTAAGGGCAAAAAGATCAACAAGTAAAAATCTGGAACTTAAGTTTTCATCTCATGGAAGGTAGGTTGTAAATTTGTTACTTCGTGGAGAATAAGCTATGACTTTATTGGCACAATTACCTTATAACTTCCAAGATGGTATACAGTAAATGTATCATATTTTGTGTGTACGATATTTGGCGGAAATTCAATTTTCAACAAGTTAGCGTAGATCTGATTTAGCACTGTCTGAAATGCTAGTTATAAAATTAATATACAAGACATTTAGTGATATACATAAATAAGCGGACTCTGCTTTCCGCCAAAAAGCTAAAAGAAGGATATGGAAATAACGAACAGTATTCAATCTCAACGTCCATTAAACATATATACAAAATAAGAGCAGAGCAAACACGGACCACCGAAACATCAGAGGTGGGATCAGGTGCCATGGAGGAGTGAGCATCCCCTGCCGACCGGTCACACCCGCCGTGTGCTCGTTGTCATAATCAGGAAATAACGGAAAAAATCCGTGGTCAATTCAGTGTATAATTAATGGACTAACAATTGGTATGAAAAACGTCAGTCAGCATTTCATTCAATGATAAATTGTACTTGCTGACAAGGTCATTGTATCGACCTAAAAATTTACGAAATGATGACTTTAAACGAGACTGTTGATATTCTTGTTTCATCAACTTCCTTATCAACAATTTTCCTCGTTTTAGAAATTGTTCATACGTAGAGCATGCTCTTGCGTATCGAATCAACTAAGATATAAATACTCCGTATGCAGGTGATGAAGGTATATTGCTGCATAAGTAAGGGAAGTTGACGATAGAAAAGTTAAAGTCATCACGTTTATCATATAGCTTGGTTGTTAGATTACCATTAGAGTCTTTTTCAAGTAAAATATCCAAGTATGAAGCAGAAGTGTCGGACTCTGTGGTATCTTTTATCTCAAGCTCACCAGGATATATCGTGTCGACGTAGGAATGGAAATTATCATTATTAATTGACAATACGTCGTCGATATATCTAAATGTCGAGTTGAAGGCCACAGCAAGTGTTTTCTTCTTTTCACGCAAAAGATTTTGCATAAATTCTGCTTCATATGAATATAAAAATAAGTCTGCTAATAACGGAGCGCAATTGGTACCCATGGGAATTCCAATAGATTGTTGGAATACCTAAAAACCACATAGATATTGTCAATCAGAAACTCAAGCATCTTCTTGATGTCAACTTCAGAGTACTTATGTGTGCAATCAGAATCTGTTTTTACAAAATAATTTTTCAAATGACCAATGACGAGGTAAGTAAACTTACGAGTTCCATTTTTGTTGAAGAAGCAGCTGTCAATGATATCAAAAAGCCTGGATTTTCATTTGTCGTGGGGAATTGTTGTGTATAAAGTTGAAAAGTCGTAAGTTTTTATGCTGTTGATTTTTGTAAAGTCTTGTGATTTCAAATTGTCCAAAAGTTCTATAGAATTTTTAAGTATCCACATCTGATTTACACCACTTCTTGAATATATAGTTGTACAGTACTCTTGAAGTTTTTCCTTCACTACTGTCAATATTTTAGTGAGAAGTAACGAAAGAGGCTTGGTTGAACATTTACTTGCAATGTATCTTTGTTTGTAAGGATTCCGGAATCCAATATATATAAGGTAGTTCAAGTTCATTTTGGCTCTGTGGAATATTAAAAGTATTCAAAACTGACAGGTGATTTTGAAGAATTTCTTCCTTAGAAAGAGAAGAATATGTATAAGTAGGATTACCACTTGTAGAATTAAATCCAAGTTCTTCTAGAATGCAATTTATATAATGAGCCTTACAAACGAAGACAATGTTGTTACCTGCTTTGTCGGCAGGAACCAGTACGTACTGATCGTGTAATCTATCTAATTCTTTTTTCACTTCTGGTTTATTAAACACAGAAGGATAGATGGTTTTCATTTTGCCCCTCAATCTTTTAATACGCGACTTTAACATGGATCTGATACATTTAATCCATTCTGTCAAGGTGTCAATGTCTTCTTTTTCATATCTAGCCCATCGTCTGGCATAATTTTCAACAGAATCCATAATATTTATGAAATTCCGACGCCAGTTGAAGGATCGGGGTTCCCTATATTTAGGACCTTTTAAAATAAGTGATCTAAGGTCCTCATTACGAACTATTTTTACGTCACCTGTAATAACGTGTCCAGCAGGACTATAGTTATAGGGCGAAGAAGAACATGAACACGAAAGGGGATTATTTTTCAGATAGTCGATATCCAGGCCATGTAAAGTGTTTTTGTAATTGAAAAGTTTGGAAGCAATGGTCGATGTATATTTGTAGGAAATACAAGGCGTAGTCTTTAACTTGAAATATGGTGGAATACAAGACTGGACCCTTTTGTGATTAAGAATATTACTTATATTAACCGCGTCAATTCCTTTATTGGCACATTGAAGTTTAAGGAAAAGACGGATTGTTTTAGCTGCATTTTCTTCCGTGAAACGTGCGGGTTTAAAAAGCCTATGATGTGCAATATCCATAATCAAAAAAGCGAGCCTATATTCAGGTGTCGAGGAATCTAAATTTGGATGTTCCTTGGTCTTTTCAAGAAGACTATTTAAAAGTTTCAAAGGGACAGAGTAAAGTTTGGTTCGAATATGATGTAAAAAAATAATACCAAATTAATACGTTTACAGTATTGTAATGATCATCTTGAAGAAAATTGTGACAATTTAGAACTCCATCATAAAACAAATCAAGGTTGTTATATTTTTCTTTTGTCTCTTCACCTATTTACATTTTTATATCTTTATTCTTCATCTTTAGAACATTTATTTTGACCTTTCACCATCAGACAGTGTTTTACGCTGTTTTATAATTTAGGACCTTTCACCATCAGAGTATTTTACGCTGTTTTATATTTTAGGACCTTTTACCACCAGACAGTGTTTTACGCTGTTTTATATTTTAGGGCCTTTTACCACCAGACAATGTTTTACGCTGTTTTATGTTTTAGGACCTTTTACCACCAGACAATGTTTTACGCTGTTTTATATTTTAGGACCTTTTACCACCAGACAGTGTTTTACTCTGTTTTATATTTTAGGACCTTTTACCATCAGAGTATTTTACGCTGTTTTCTATTTTAGGACCTTTCAACATCAGACAATGTTTTACGCTGTTTTATATTTTAGGGCCTTTTACCACCAGACAATGTTTTACGCTGTTTTATGTTTTAGGACCTTTTACCACCAGACAATGTTTTACGCTGTTTTATATTTTAGGATCTTTTACCACCAGACAGTGTTTTACTCTGTTTTATATTTTAGGACCTTTTACCATCAGAGTATTTTACGCTGTTTTCTATTTTAGGACCTTTCAACATCAGACAATGTTTTACGCTGTTTTATATTTTAGGACCTTTTACCATCAGACAATGTTTTACTCTGTTTTATATTTTAGGACCTTTCACCATCAGACAATGTTTTACTCTGTTTATATTTTACCTTTCTCAGACAATGTTTATCTGTTTTCTATTTTAGGACCTTTCACCATCAGACAATGTTTTACTCTGTTTTCTATTTTAGGACCTTTCACCATCAGACAATGTTTTACTCTGTTTTCTATTTTAGGACCTTTCACCATCAGACAATGTTTTACTCTGTTTTCTATTTTAGGACCTTTCATCATCAGACAATGTTTTACTCTGTTTTCTATTTTAGGACCTTTCACCATCAGACAATGTTTTACTCTGTTTTCTATTTTAGGACCTTTCACCATCAGACAATGTTTTACTCTGTTTTCTATTTTAGGACCTTTCACCATCAGACAATGTTTTACTCTGTTTTCTATTTTAGGACCTTTCACCATCAGACAATGTTTTACTCTGTTTTCTATTTTAGGACCTTTCACCATCAGACAATGTTTTACTCTGTTTTCTATTTTAGGACCTTTCACCATCAGACAATGTTTTACTCTGTTTTATATTTTAGGACCTTTTACCATCAGAGTATTTTACGCTGTTTTCTTTTTTAGGACCTTTCAACATCAGACAATGTTTTACTCTGTTTTCTATTTTAGGACCTTTCACCATCAGACAGTGTATTACTCTGTTTTATATTTTAGGACCTTTCATCTAGACCTGCACCCCTCAGACAGTGTATTACTCTGTTTTATATTTTAGGACCTTTTACCACCAGACAATGTTTAACTCCGTTTTATATTTTAGGACCTTTTACCACCAGACAGTGTTTTACGCTGTTTTATATTTTAGGACCTTTTACCACCAGACAGTGTTTTACTATATTTTACTCTGTTTGTGACTGTTTTATATTTTAGGACATTTCATCTAGACCTTCACCCCTCAGACAGTGTCTTCACAGCTGATCACAAATCTCTTCATCCCGACGGGTCAGAGGAACTCGTTGATACCTCCTTTATTTATGATGGCCAAGTACGAGGTATTTATTTAGTGTGTATTTGTGTTTTGAATCAACCGTTACTTTATTGTAAGGTTTCCAAGTGTTTTTTTTTTACATGAAACAAACCAAAGTATACTGTATGTGTATTTACAAAAAAAAAAACTTTATAGTTTATTGCTTACATCACGAATATTCTTTATAAATCATTCAATTTATACGCGGCACAGGCGTATATAGTGCTTTCTTGTTTTGAACATACAGTGAAAACTGTCTTATCCAACACCTGAATAATCAGACACACTGTGAATTCCAACGTTAAATTCTTTCCAATTTTAGTACTTCTCCTTGTTTTTAACACTGTGCTATCCGACACCCTGTCTATAACGATACAAAATTCGTCTCCCAGTGCATGTCGGATTAGACAGGTTTCACTGTATTTTATTGATTCAATCAAAAGGATTGCAAACAAATTATTTACAACTTACTAAGTTCCTCTTTAATGTGCTTATTCTTGATTAGGCTTATCTTTCTAACTAGTGATAACGCTTAATTTGTCAACCGTCAATTGGTGTACTCATACATCAATAATGTAACACACTATTTCATTGATACTTTATAATATTTTTATTTCTAGGAGCTTCAGACAGCAGTGTTTACGGCGCTGTATTACGCGATATATCTCAGAGCTATATTTATATAATGTTTATTTCAGGGTTATATTTATATAATGTTTATTTCAGGGCTATATTTATATAATGTTTATTTCAGGGCTATATTTATATAATGTTTATTTCAGGGCTATATTTATATAATGTTTATTTCAGGGCTATATTTATATAATGTTTATTTCAGGGCTATATTTGTATAATGTTTATTTCTAGGTGCTCCACACAGCAGCGTTCACGGCGCCGTATTACGTGGGATATTTCGGGGCACCATCACGCTGTCACCAGAGGAAATCTATTTCATCGAGCCGGCGGACCGGTACTTCCCGAATTCTGTCCGTCCTTTAGAATTTCACTCCATTATATACAGGGAGGACCATATGAACCTTGACCCCTACAGGTAAACTCTAGGCCGTTTTTTTCATGTTCTTATACACACAGGAAAGAGGCCATATATAAGCGGTATATTATGATATACTATGGTCGATACAATGGCCTTGTCAACGAGTGTAGTTTGTAAAATTGAGTTGGGTGCTGTTTGACGTTTTTCATGCTGGAGGTTGCTCCATTGTTTATACACTGAACTGACGACGGACTTTCCCATTTTCCTGGCTTGGAGAACACGGTAGATGTGACCGGTCGGCAAGGAATGCTCGCTCCGTCATGGCACATGATCCCACTTATGATGTTTTGGAGGTCCGCGTTTGCTCTGTTCCTATTTTGTATTGTTTTGTGGACTTTTGATCTTGATTGATGGATTGATTGTTTACTGTTTAACGTCCCTCTCCAGAATATTTCACTGATATGGAGACGTCACAATTGCTGGTGAAGGGCTGCAAATTTAGGCCTATGCTCGGCACTTAGGGCCATTGAGCAGGGAGGGATCTTTATCGTGCCACACATGCTGTGACACGGGGCCTCGGTTTATACGGTCTCATCCGAAGAACAGCCCCATTTAGTCGCCTTTTACAACAAGCAAGGGGGTACTGAGGACCTATTCTAACCCGGATCCCCACGGGGCCTTTTGATCTTGAATGCTGTTTGTTTTCCCCATATGTTTTACTCTCCTCCTCTTATATGTAGCATTTTCATAATTACTCATATATTTTTTTATTATCTCAAAAGAAGAGAATGTTTTTAATAATTCATTTTTTTTCAATTCATGATAGTAGGTTACTGGCAAATAAGTCGATATTCCTAACAATAAGATACTTTAGTAAACAATTTCATTTCTATTATTATAACCAGAGTTTGCGATAGCTTAAAGTTTTTACTAAAGAGAATCAAAGTATTTTTGTATGGAAGAAATATATGGAGATAACAAACAGTATTCAATTTCAAAAGTCCTTTTGATAAACCTCCTAATTATCAGAAATGTGATCAGTTGTAATGAACGAGTGAACACCCCCTGCCTGCTTCAGAATAATTTTTTTACGTATATATTTTTTTCCAATTCAAGAATGTACATTTTTTGCTACTGAATAGAAAAAAAGAATAAAATTCCACGTTATCTTTATTTGTTTTCATTGAGTTTAAGGGAGTTAACGCTTTGAGATTGCAAAGCTTTCTTTAGCGAAATTTCATAGTGAATCATTAAATTTGCGTTTTTATTATGTTTTCTAATGGTACGCCGGTCGTCTTACAATTTTTCAATTATCTGGTTTATCTCAGCATTTTGTATTTCCCCTCTATGCGATTTCTGATACTGATATTAACTTTTGTTGATTATCTTAACATTTTTCATTTATGGAAGAAATCATTTATTTAATATTCTCAGACACAAACGTGCCAGCACCGGACTTGATGGGAGTTGTGGACTGGACAAATATCAGGACTGGATGTCAGAAAGAAGTCACACAGACGAAAAATTGTATGTAAGTCAGATGATTATACAATCGGAAATATAATTGATTCCGGAATATAAAAGTAAGACAATTTAATTATAATAGAAGTATTACAAGAGAGTAAATTAAAGTCGGTAAAGTGACTGTGCACATCCAACTCACTATGTAAGAACTGTGATGTTTTTTTTTAATTATACATGACCTTTAATTTTTTATGTCTTGTCTCTGTAATTTTCTTACGGTAGAGCGATGTCCATGGTCACTATAGGTCTAGTAGCATGTACAGTAGGGATTCCAACAGTAAACCCCACCGTACAAAGAGAGCTCCCCCAGGGAGCAGTTGTTATTCCAAACCTGAGCGGACGTGTAATCTGTATCTCAGAGCAGATCCTGTGTTGTTTAACGCCACAAGAAAAAATGGGGTGAGTAGCTAATTGTGACACTTGTAACATTTATATATGTAATTAAACTATTGGGTGCTAGCAATGAAACATATGGAAATAACAAAGAGAATTCAAGATCAGTCCATAAAACAATACAAAATAAGAGCAGAGCAAATACGGACCTCGGAAACGTCAGAGGTGGAATCAGGTGCCATGGAAGAGTAAGTATCCCCTGCTGACTGGTCACACCCGCCGTGTGCTCCTTGTCATGATCAGGAAATAACATAAAAACTGTCGTCTATCCAGTGAATAAATAACGGACTAACAATTAATATGAAAAGCGTCAGTCAACATTTGACTCAATGACACATTGTATTTGCTGACAAGGTCATTGTATCGACCATAAAACTTACGAAATGATGATTTTAAACGAGACTGCTGATATTCATGTTTTATCAACTTACTTGTAAATAATTTACCTCACTTTAGAAATTGTTCATACGTTGAGCATGTTGTTTCTTTATAAATCATTGTCTATCTGTAAATGTAAATGATGTTTCTATATAAATCATTGTTTTTTTACATTAAATGTAAATATTGTTTCTCTATAAATCATTTTAAATTACTGTTAATGTAAATGAATTTTATCTATAAATCACTATTTTACTGTCAATATTTTAATAAATTATTTTTCCGATAAATATCATTCTTTTATTCGAATGTAAATGTTGTTTCTCTATAAATTATTGTTTCAATGTTAATGTAAATTTTGTTTCTCTATCAATCATTGTTTTAATGTTAATGTAAGTGTTGTTTTTCTATAAATCTATATAAATGATTTTCCTCTATAAGTCATTGTTTTACAGTTAAAGCAATTGATTTTTCTCTATAAAATACTGTTTACTCTCATTATGAATGAATTTCATGTATAAATCATTGTTTTAGTGTAAATGTAAGTGTTGTCTCTCTAAATCAGTGTTTTACTGTCAATATCAATGATTTTTCATATAAATGGTTTTCTCTATAAACCATTGCTTTAAAGTCAATATCAATGATTTTTCACATAAATGGTTTTCTCTATAAACCATTGCTTTAAAGTCAATATCAATGAATTTTCTCTATAAATCACTGTTTTACTTTCAATATAAATACTATATCTTTATAAATTAGGATGTGGCGGCGGCTAAGGATGAAATCCTGGCTTTGTTCTCAAACCATGTGTCCGCCATTAACCAGATCTACAGTTCTACCAAGTTTCAGACGTTTTGGGGTAACACTCCAGGGACGCCATGTTTTGAAGGAATGAATTTTAGGATTCAGAGAACAACGGTAAGACGCCATTGTACAAATATCAGGAATATGTTACAATGTGTTATTGGTTAGATGCCAAAGTTCAAATATCAGGAATATATTAAAATTCATTATTGCATTATTTTCAGGCATTTGTTATAATTTATTATTGTATCATAATCATTACGTAATTTTTTGTAGTTTTATTGTAGAGATAGCTTGGATATGTTATTGATGACTTTGCATGAACATTTGTAATCTGTTATGAATAACATTTATACACTTTTGTAAAATCTGTGATGGTTAACATAGAACAGAAAGATAAAATAGATTGTGTGGATATCTGAAAGAACAATTTACCTTTGATACTTTATGGTTCATAATTTACAAATAAACTAAATATCCAAGTTTTACATTTTACAAGTATTATAGATTATACATTTGATAAATATCAAAAATATTACAATTTTCATTTTAAATTCACCTGAAATATACGAGAATTCCACATATACAGACCCAGCACTAAATATGTTAAAAAGCTGCAACTTACATGTAACAGAACTTTGAATATGTTACAGTTGATATGCACTTATAAAAAAATCTTAATTTTGTTTTTACTGTTTATACACACTGCTCGATATACATGTATACATATATTTCCGTCTCTTCATAAAAGCAAAAGTAAGGTACAGTAAAACTCGTTTAGTACGGACACGGATATTGCAAATTCATGGATATACGCAATTATCTTGGGTCCCCAGCTATATAAAGTTAACAAACAAATACGGATACAGTGTGTAAGGAATGTCGGATAAAGCGAAGTAATTTCCAAAGTCTCAGGGATTTTATTATAACCGATTTTTACTGTATTTAACACAAGATAATGACGGACGAATCTCTAAAGTGCACGACCTATCTACGGACGAACGCTCTCAGCTTCTGTAACCCAAACATTGACGTCAGCAACTTTCTGAACCTGAACTCTCTGGACGATCACGATCCATTCTGTCTGGCCTTCGCCTTTACCTATCGGGACTTCTCTGGAGGGACCCTAGGACTGGCATGGGTGGGGTCTCCCTCAGGTATGTTTATATTGTTCCACTTATTTATAATTTTTCTTATCGGGACTTCTCTGGAGTAGCTGCAATAATGTAGCCCTCTCCGATTTTTTTATCTGATATTTTCTGGAGATCGCTACAATTCCATAGCATCTCCATTATGTTGCATACCGGTATTTTTTTTTTTAAATACGAGCGACTGCAGGCCGAATAAATTGTATTAACATTCAACTTACTTCTAATAAGATTTTTATTCACTGTCGACATCATAGCTCGTTAAACGCGAAAACTATGTAAAATAAATCTGTGTGATTCTTCTCGCTTATTCCGCAGCCATGACAGTTCAAGCGTGACGTAGTGAGATTTGCGCTTGAAATTTTAAATAACTCAATAAAGCAAATGTCGATGTTAATAAATAATTGTGATGAATAGTAACACTAAACATCGATGAATAAAATCAATCCATGTGTCATTCTTTCGTAAACAGCGATATTTAGGCTTAAAATAAGGCAATTCCAAAGAAATCCGCTCCCTATAGATCCTTAATCTCATTGGCTGTCTCAAAATAAAATCAGTAAAGGTCAGTAAACATGGCGGATAAATTTAAGTTGTGATGTTGACATACACGAAAAATACCGATATATGTATTGTTCTGTATATTTTATGATCGATTTATGTCTTTGATAACTACATTTTGGAAGTTCAGGTAAGGCATATAAATAAAATAACCGTTTACCGACAATTTGAGCCGAAATCCGTGCGGGAGAGGATCACTCCCGCGATTGCACCATTAGGGAGATCCTAAGTAGCCCTCCCCCCCAAAAAAAATCGCAGAGGGCTACATTATTGCAGCTACTTTGGAGGGACCCTAGGTCTGACCTGGATGGGATTCCCAACGATATGTATTTTTTACTTAATGTAATTTTTTAAAAACCTGTATTGGAGATAAAAATATCCCAACAGAATATCGTTGGGATCAACTTTTGTTTTCTTTCACTTGATGATACTTTTATTCTTCTTTGCACATGTAAAGACACCAATATTTCAGGTGCCTATCGTATATAGGGATCCATTAAAAGTAATGCTTATTGTACCTGTCTACAAGTGAGACACTGATGCTTACTCCTCCATGGCAAAACTGTAAAAAACATTAGATTAAGTCATAAAAAACTTTGAAATTTGCAGTCCGTACAATAGTTTCACTAGGTATTGGGCATATTTCTAGACATGGTTAGTAATTCTGGAATTTATATGTAACTTTAACTGCATATCTAAGACATCTAAGTATCTATCCGATCCGATCAACAGTAACCTGAAAATTTACTAATCTAGACAACTGCTGTAAGAAGCACACTAGTTAAAATCATTAGGTTTGTCTTTCAGTGCACTATCGTAATGTTTCCAGGTCGATGTCTGCATTATTTTAATTAACTGGAGTTGTGAGTATAGTATCTTTTTTGTAATCTTCAAATTTGATCTACAGTTACATTATATATTTCATGTAGCTGCAGCGGGGGGCGTATGTGAGCGTTATAAAACAGTTAGGGAGCAGGGTAGAGCTGTACAGAAGAGTCTGAACACCGGAATAGTTACACTCATCAACTACGCACGCCGTGTTCCACCGAGAGTATCACACTTAACATTCGCTCACGAAGTAGGACACAACTTTGGATCTCCGGTAAGTATGACATAATTACACCCGCCGTGTTCCATCGTGGGTCTCACACCTAAAGTTTGCTCATGAAACAGGACATTACCTTGCCTCTCCGGTAAGTATGATTTATAATTACGCCCGCCGTGTTCCACCGCGGGTTTTTTGATAACCGTCCACCGCGGGTTTCACACCTAAAGTTCGCTCACGAAGCGGGATATAACTTTGGCTCCCTGGTAAGTATGGTATTATGTTTATGTCCGCCGTGTTTCACCGCGGGACTCACACCTAAAGTTTGCTCATAAAACAGGACATTACTTTGGCTCTCCGGTAAGTATGATTTATAATAACAACCGCCGTGTTCCGCCGCGGGTCTCACACCTCAAGTTCGCTCAAGACGTGGGACACGACTTTGGCTCTCCGGTATATTATTTCGCTTACATATTCTTAACCAAAGAAGACGTTCTTTAACACACAGTTGAATACATGTGTAATTATGTACGACATAAAAGGCTTTGAAACATGAATTTTCGGTACGAAGACAATCATGCAGTACCTCTTTAAATCAATACATTTAAGTTAGGGTCTTTATTCATTATTCATTCAATCAATCCTTTACTTTGTCAAATTGATTAACATTTGTACAGCATGAAAGATGTTTTTCGCGCTATCTTTAAAATGATAAATTCTTATGTTACCTTTTTTTTAATACTTAAGTTAGAGAAAAGTTAACTTTTGTTATTTCTTTTCAGCATGATAATGGAGAAATTTGCGCCCCGGGAGGGGATCAGGGCAATTTTATCATGTATCCAAGCGCGACCAAGGGTAACCGCCCTAACAACGATCATTTCTCTAAGTGCAGTAAGGGAAATATCACGTTAGTCTTAGACGCGGTAGTCAACGAGAGAAACGGGAAGTCTAACTGCTTTAAATGTTAGTAGCACATTATATAGTTACTGTACATATCAAAGGAGAAAAGTCTCATCTTATAGTAGCTGTAAACATCATAGGAGAAAGTAACATAATCCAACTTAAAAGAAAAGTATAATTGGTAAATGAAGTCATGATAAGCAGTAAGAAATACTATTTCTCAACACAATAGGATCATTTATTAATCGTTCTCATAGGCTTACTCTTTTTAAGATTTTTTTTAGATTTCAAAAATATCTAAGTTAGGAATTTGAGAAAATTAAGGAACATATATTAATGAACATTTGATGGGATCTAACATTAGTTTGCCGTATAAAATAAAAAAAAAATCATATGAGTAAATTTCTTTTAAGCATCGGGCGCGGCATTCTGCGGTAATGGTATAGTAGAGTCGGGGGAGCAGTGTGATTGCGGATATAAGGATGAGTGTACAGACAGGTGCTGCCACCCTCGGAGTAGTGACCCCAACGACAAACTGATGTGTACATACAGAGATCCGTCATATAAATGCAGGTGAGGATTTAATTATTAGTTTTTATGCCCCGCGATGAATATGACCGGGGCATATAGTGTTTGTCATGTCCGTCTTCCGTCCCTCTGTCCTTCCGTCTCTCCATCTCTTTGCATTGAGTTCTGTTAAAAGCTATTCAAAGAAACTATCGAAGATAATTTCATCAAACTTCATATGCTGATAGATATTGATGAGAGCTATGCAACTGTATCAACATCTTTTGACCTTGACCTTTCCTTTGACCTTGACCTCACTTTTCTTAAATGGGTGTTTAGCTCAGTTTAAAACATACCATTCAAGATGGTGTTATCAAACTTTACATGTTGATACAAACTTGCACGGATGATGCATCTCAGGATGAACATTACCGTACTTGATTCGGATGCTGGATATAACCTACATTTTACAGATGAGTGACCAGGTTAAAGTTTTTGGAGCAGGTCCATTCCTAAGTAACTATAAGCCCAACCTGAACCAAACTTGCATGGAGGATGCATCTAGGGATGGACACTACCAGACTCGCTTTGGATGCAGGATCTGACCTATATTTTGAATCCTAAGTAACTACAAGCTTTACCTGAACCAAATTTGCATGGACGATGCATCTAGGGATGGACACTACCAGACTTGCTTCGGATGCTGGATCTGACCTATATTTTTCAAACAAGCAATTCATCTGCATCACCATTCAAGATATCGTGATCAATATTTACACACATACAAATTTTCATGTTGCTTTACTAATATAGCCTCGGCGGGGCATTCATGTCATATGGACATATTTCTAGTTTTTAATTTTATGAAATATTTGTTATATAATACAAAGGCGTTTGTACATCCGATATGAACACTGACACGCCCCCCTGTATTACACACCCTGTATCAGCACCCTTTATTTAACATTTCGGGAACATCCCTGTACTTCCATACGGAGTACCTCGAATCTTTTCACTATCATATTCAATGTGTTATTTTCATTTGAACACACAAGGAGCTTAACAGGGCCTAAAATAAAATATTGTTTGTTTGCAGTTGCCGACCGACCCACTGAGAATGCACCCGACCCAATCTTTTTTTAGCCATTTTGTAATATTTTTTTCTCCAATTTTTCAGGATATTAAAACTGTTTCATTTTCAATTTTTGTCTTCATCAATCATTAAATTATTCCAAGAGTGCAGTTTATTCATGTATAATAGGCCTATGAAAAACTCTGTTTTATGTTATCTAACAAAAATCTGGAAACGATTTTTTTTTTTCAAAAAAAAAAATTGCCTACCTACCTACCAAGACTAAAAATTATAGGTCTGCAACTGCAAACAAAGAATTTTTTAAGCTTGGCCTAGCTGACGTTATCATTTAACGACGTCACCATGTAAGATAGGGGGTGTGATACAGATTTTGTCATGTATTAATCTGTATGTAATTAAAATCATATCTAACACATTAGAAAACAGAATTTGTTGGATAAAAAATTGAAATGGATTAGGAAAATATCACCTGTTTTTTTTTTAATGTTCATACCTTAAAGTAGTAATATTCTTTCTAGATGTCTGTACAATGTAACTATAAAAACCTATTATAACATACAATGGTTGAAACTACATTTCGTTTTGAAAAGCAGTCATTCTTAAATACTTTGGTATCATTAAAGTTTGTGGGGGCCAATTTCTAGCTTTGTATCAAAGTTGACATGTTCTGTTTGGGAAGCAATTTAATATGTATATCACTTATATCTAGAAAAGAATATGACTTTGATGCGCTACAATATTAATTCCCAGAGAATATTAACTCATCGATGAAGAATGCACAAGAATTCTGCTCATATGTAGCCAACGAATTTTATTTCTTCATATTGTTCATATTTATCACACAGTAAAGATTCTTGAATTTCTTTGCAGCCCGACAGAAGGACCTTGCTGTACTGAAGATTGTAATTTTAAATCAAACAATTCCTATATCTGCCGAGCCTCCACCGACTGTAGTCTAAATGAAACATGCAAATATCCTTTTGCCAACAATGATTCCTAGTTACAATTTAAGTTGATATATATTCAAAACTTCTAAAAAGCAAGAATACAGTCATTTTTTGGGCACTTCTATATAATTATTTAGAATCAAATTCATCAAAATTTGAAATTGTTTTATATACATCATGGAACGTAGCCAACAAAATTGATGTCAATGCAATTTAATAGTAAATCGGGTAATGAAAATTGTTCATATCCATTAGATATAGAGAAAATGAAGCTAAAAAGTATGTTTAATCAATACAAATCGAGAGCAAAGATTTCGTTTCTTGTGGTTTAAAGGAGTAAATCTTATAGTATGATCTTGTTCTTATTCATACAATTGTTTAAAGAATGGCAGTCCTCTATGCCACCTGATCCAATCTTTGATTTTTTAGAGGTCTATGTCTGCTCGGTTCCTGATTTTTGTCGTTAGAATGGACTTTTGAGCTTGATATATTTACCTGTAAGTAGGAATGTTAGTAGCAAATTGAACAAAATAAAAAACATTACTTCTTAACCTGTATACCGGAACTAGCGCAGAGTGTCCAGTTTCTGAAAATAAACCGGACATGACCTACTGTAACGACTATACTCAAGTCTGCATAAACGGGGTAAGATTGAATGTACATTTCTTTAACAAATCGTTCTCTGCATTTATTGTTCTTATACTTAGATAAATACAGATGATGTACATAATTCATTCTAATAATATGGTATGTAGATATGTTGATGCAAAAATCTCCAAGGTGTAGTGGATCGAATTGTAATGAAAGAGTGTTTTTTCACAAAAATAGTTTTTTAATTGAAGATGTTTTTTTTGCAAAATTTAGCCATTACTCTCTCCTCCCCTTTATTGTGAAGGGACTGACTGTTATTTACAGGAGTACTAGTTCTGTTTGTAGGTCTGCGAAGGATCCCTCTGTAAAAGAATAGGTTATAACAATACGTCATCACGTGGTCAGTGGGACGAATGCTACATCAGCAAGTCTGGTTCCCTCTCTGTGGTTGATAAAGAAAGACTGTGTTACTTGGCTTGTAAACAAGGTTTGATTTTCTACATTATATAAAATGAGTCTTTAAAATATTAAAAATAATACCAATGCTTGTTTACAGATCTTTTGTGTCGATATAAATACATTATTCCCCAGGTTTATTGGGAAAAAATTCTGAATGATTATTAAAGTCTCAAATTCATTTACTTATCTATACCAATAAATATTTACAATAAAAAGCAACCATTTATCTAAGTTTTTGTGTTAAAAAGTATAATCCTTCCATTTCTCCAAAAGATGCCAACGAGACGTGTTATGTTTCGGAAGATGACGGAATTCCAAAGGCATTCAGTGACCTAGTTACAAAAGTGAAGAATTTGCGTGGAGATACTTCACACATTTCAGTTGCCTCAGGTATAAAGCATAATTATAAACTGAAACAATAGCCTAATTTTTACACATTTTACAAAAGAAAGACACTGTGCAGCTAGGTTAAGGACTCCCAAAGTTTTATCAGTCTATATGCAGAGCTTTCAGATTCGATTATAACGTCACGGTGAAACTGTAATGAGTTTCGGCGAATAAATTATAATTTTCTCTTTTTAATACACTTTTACATAGTTTGATTTCTAATAATCATTGTAAACATAAATTAATGTGTAACTTATCTTGTTATAAAACTGTTTGAATGTAAAATCAAAACCAATTTGATCTCGCTGTTCTGACAGAAATGACGTCAAATACTACTTTGACATGCAGCTTTCTGTACTTGAGATGCAGATCAAGCCATTGTATCTACTTATAATTATGAAAATTAAAACTGAATAAGAGTGATCTGACTAAAGTTGTCATATTTTTGAAACAATACTCAATATTTCCACAGTCTTGTTAAATTGGTAACTAATAGGTCCCTTATAAAGCCGCAGTCATGCACTTTTTATACATATATTTACATCCACTGAATATTTTCTCCTTTATTTCTTAAGAAACCCCATTGCGTTCATCACTGTATAAACTACAGCAGGCATTTCGCCTGTACAGATTTCTTCATCGTGGCTGTTCCATCAATGAAACGTATAAAGACGTTCGCATCATTAATATAATAATTAATTTTTTTAATCCTACTTTAATTGATTATTTAAACAGATATAAATATAAACAATAAAATGCTTTCTTTGTTTGTTGTTATTGGAATGAACGGTCGCAGCTATTGCAGAAAAAACTTACATAACCCGCTTACACGGGTTATGTATTTTTTCTGCAACAGCTGCTTCCGTTCATTCCAGTAATAACAAACAAAGAAAGCATTTTATTGTTTAAAAACGTACTACAATCACAGACACAACCCCTCGAAAATCTCAAAAGTTCAACGATATTAAAATGTTTTAAGGCATGTTTCCTATGGGTGGCCTTAACCTAGCTGCATGATGTCAGTCTACCAGCTAAACGTCCTGATAACTGTGATGACCTTAAGAATTATATCACCAACGTTCACCTTTTAAGTAATTACATGTAATATTATGAGATAACGTACAGTACCCAATATTCATTTCTTATATGTCGATACGATATATCTTGGTGAGCTTGAGATAAGAGATTCCACAGAGTCGGAGACATCTGATTCATGTTTGGATATTTTACTTGAAAAGGACGTAAATGGTAATCTTACAACCAAGCTTTATGATAAACTTGATAACGTTATTATTTCTATCGTCAACATTCCTTACCAAAGGTATATGACTTCATCACCTGCATACGGAGTTTGTCAGGTAAATTATTGACAATCAAATTGCCGAAAAAATATTAGCAGTCTCGTTTAAAAGCCATCATTTCCTAAGATTTATGGTCGATACCATGATCTTATCAGCAAATACAATTTCTCCGTTTTGTAAACGAAGGTCCGAGTTATCATTCTTGGTACACTGTATTAGAAGTTTTATTTTGACATTATGAAAAATTTAACAAGCAACAAAAATCAAATTAACGACATTATGAAGTTTATATAACAACTTGAATTCATTTATTTTATCAATTTTCTATAAACGTATAAAGTCTTGTAAATGTAAAATACTTGATAACTGTCGAATGATAGGAGAAAGTCTCTCGTAAAACATGGCGCACCGGAATTTATCTAATGGACTAGATTCACTGGTTTAATAATTAAAAAAATACTCAATTTAATGTGAAATTGTCGCTATTATCTTGACCTAATCATTAATACTGAAAGAAAAAATATCAATATTCACGGCTATTGTGACGTAATTTGTATAATTTAAAGGCACACCCTGTAACAACTATCAAGGCTATTGTGACGTAATTTGTACATTTTAGGCACACCCTGTTACAACTATCAAGGCTATTGTGATGTAACTTGTACATTTTAAGCACACACGAATATCAAGGCTACTGTGACTTAATTTTTAAAATTTAGGCACACCCTGTAAAAACTATCAAGGCTACTGTGACTTAATTTTTGAAATTTAGGCACACCCTGTAACAACTATCAAGGAAATTGTGACGTTATTTGTACATTTTAGACACACCCTGTAACAACTATCAAGGCTATTGAGACATAATTTGTATATTTTAGGTACACCCAGTAACAACTATCAAGGTTATTGTGATGTTACTTGTACATTTTAGGCACACCCTGTAACAATTATGAAGGCTATTGTGACGTTTTCCATAGATGTAGAGGTGTGGACAACGAGGGACCTCTAGAACGACTGAAAAATTTGATCTTTGGAGAAGAAACTCTCACCACAATCAAAAACTGGATCATTGTATGTAATTAAGCTTCAATTCTATTGATTGTTTGTAAAATCAGTGATATGATTATTATTTCGCTCATTGTGGTCGGGGTCGTGATTCCGTTTATTTTTATTCGAACGTTGGTGAGGTGATGCTAATTGTGGTCGGTTTTGTGATTCTGTTGATTTTTACAGGAACATTGTAGGGATTTGATGCTACATTTAATTGTGGTTGGGACACGGATTCTGTATATTTTTTACAGGAAAACTGGTGGGGTGTGATGTTAATTGTAGTCGGGTTCGTGATTTTGTTTATTTTAACAGGAACACTGGATGAGTGTTATGCTAAATAGTCGGGATCGTGATCCTGTTTTTTTTTTCAGGAAAACTGGTGGGGTGTAATGTTAATTGTAGTCGGGTTCGTGATTCTGTTTAATTTTACAGAAACACTGGTTGGTTGTAAAAATAACTGTAGTCGGGCTCGTGATTCTGTTATTTTTTTTACAGGAGAACTTGTGGGTTGTGATGCTAATCGTGGTCGGGTTCGTGATTCTGTTTATTTTTACAGGAACATTGGTGGGGTGTGATGCTAATTGTGGTCGGGGTTGTGATTGTAATGGGTATCTTCATCAAAGTATGCTCTGTAAACACACCAAGTGAAGACCCAAAACTGAAGAAATTTAGAAAAAAGGTTTGTAAATAAACATTAGTGATCACATTAACAAGAAAGTTTAAAAAAAAAACTCATATAGAAGAAAAATCAGATGTTATGTAAAAAAACTTCATAGGTGAAAAAAATGCTTTCCAAACATATTTGATAAAACATTTACATCAAATTTATTACCGCCAGCTTTGAAAAGTTTATGACAGTGAAAATCAAAATGCAACAATTTATTTAGGAAAATGTATTCTTTTAAAGAAATATTTAAAAAAAAGTGATTTATCTCATACGTGTTGGGGATACAGGCTATTGGATAAATTTGTGCTTTGTCAACGGGTAGATGCTTTATCAATAGCACTTCCGGTTTTGACACGATCCCTCGCTTCAAGATTTAATTTTATGAAACTTTTATTTGAGAAAATTGTTGCCCTTATATAATGAATGATATAGGGCAATAATATCGTTAAAAGCAAGAAAAAGACTTGTATATGTCAAAGAAGTGTCTTATTTTATCAAGGAACCTGTATTGGCTACTTGAAGACAGATGTTACCTCCACCCCCCACCCCTTAAATCGTTTTCGGAGAAAGTAAAGCCTACCAGTTAAGTTGTTATCATAAGACTCCTTTGACATCTTCAACAATGCTTTTTTATATTATACTACGTATGCCTACCTTGTAATGTAGGTGTAACTTACCATGGATCAGCAATGAATCCAGACAACTAGACCCCTAGTCTTGCCTAACACGTTTTGTACTGCCATCGTAAAAAGAGTTGATTTTTACGATCCCCATATTCCTAACAACTTTCCGATATCGTTGAAATGTTGAAATATGATTATAAACCATTTCAACTCGTTGGATAAAGCCAATATCAAATCAAACAATATAGATATCCTCTATATATTAAAATTTTAGAATAAAAAGGAAAGAGGGCCGGTGAAAAATCCTGGACCGTATTACATAGGAGGAAAAAACAATGGAATAGAGAATGGACGAGGAGGAATGGGGAATAACAGACGGAATATGGAAATGGGGAAAGTCTAGATTAGATCAGTAAAAGTACAGCATATAGACGTGAACAGTGAAAGAAGTCAACAATGCATACCTGGCTCCAAAATCACAAACTAAGAACAGATTCTATCCGAAAATTTAAATCAATTTACATATTGAAAAAAAAAATAATGAAGCAGAATTTTCTACATGCCTGTAAAATTTGTATATAACACATACTTGCAAATTCAACGAAGGGATATTCATAACATTCCAAAGTAAAATATTTGACTAATAAGTATTTTCTCAATTTATGATCTTAAGGACTGTTATAAAAAGCACTATAAATGAATGGGATAACACTTTCTGAGATGTTAATTTTAGTGTACAAATTTTATATGTTTATCTAGAGGAACAGTTGTTTATGATTTTCTATTGTGCCAAAGTTTGATCAAATTTAAATCTAAACTGCTGTGTCCTGATAAAGAGTGTTTCTATGTTTCCTTTTTTATTGAATGAAAGGAACTCTTATTTGTTTCATTGTATATATCATGACATATTATGATTAAATACTTGTTTGCTTTTATGTAACTTAATAAATTGTACCTGATACATTAGATAGCATGGGTAATAACAGTATATTGTGAGAGATTTTTTTCGTTTCTCATTTTATCTGACGATTACTGAATGTATAAATGATACACATCTACTTTAGATGATTAGAAAAACAATTTTACCTTTTAATGTCTGATTTGTAATTCTGCACATGAAAAGATTAGTATACACTTATCCACTGGTTATGAGTGGGAAAGCTCTTTTGTCAAACCCGCGACAGGGAACTATTCACCGAGGGCTTGCCCGAGGGGAATAGTCCCTGTCAAGGGTTTGATAAAAGAGCTCTCCCACTCACAAGGAGTGGATGCGTTTTATTATACTGATGTATAATATTATATCTAATGTTTGAATTCTTTTTGGAGTAAGATAATATTGCAAGAATAATCTGAAATCACAAGATGAAACACACCCTTTAAGTCCGGTTAAATGGTGGTTTATAGGTCCTTAATGATGGTTTAAAGTCTCAGTGTCTTTAAGTCACCATTAAGCACCTTTTAGTAACATTTACACCACCATTTCCATTAAGTCATTTCAAATTCCTTAATGGGTGCTAAAATGTAACTTAATGGTAGCTTAATGGTGACCTTCAGGTCCTTAATGGTAGCTTTTAGACCACCATTAAGCTACCATTAAGGGGGACGTACAGGTGATTAATGCCCTAACTCCATTAAGCTACCATTAAGCCACCATTACGCAGTCGATAATACTGTTTATATGGGTGAAAAATTATCTTTATAGTGATTTGTTATCAATATTATATATGTAGAGTTCGAACATATCTTGATTTGGTAAAAATAATGAAAAGGAACGAAATTCAAAATTAAAAAAAAAATCGCCACAGGCGGCGCGCAAACCCATGACCTTATCCATTAGGCTATCACCGCTCTTTGTTTTCAAGGAAAATATTTAACTTTCATTTTTACAAGGTTTGTTTGTACTTCTAAAAGTATTTATTTTGAGGAACGTATCCGAAGTCTTGAATTGATTTTTAATCAAAATATAAACAATTTTATTTATGGATATTTTTAAAAGGCTTATTTCGCAGTAATATTTCTATACCATTGAGTTCGGCTTTTAGACTGATGTAATGTGATTGAGTTCTTCGCTCTGTTATTCGAAAATTTATACATGTAAGCATTAAATCATGATTGAAAATAAATTAATTATAGATAAAACACAACAATAGATCATCGAAAAAGAAAGTCGAAAAAACAGATTATACTTTTTTTTAAATATACTGCGGATATTAACGGTTTTTGTGTCTACAATTTAGAGACAATCCTCGCGTAAGAGTTACCAGGTTACGTTTACAAAAACTTTTTGTAGAATAGCAGATTCAGTTTTAATGCTTTTTGTGTCATAATGGGTATCAAAATAATTGTCATTTTACGATGAATCAATATTTTTAATTTGCTATATGCTTGCATTAAATTTAAATTTTGTAAAAATAATTGATCATCAAAATCTCTCTGTGTATGTTGTGTATGTATAGTTTCCTGTTAGTTAACAGGGGACGGTGGGACACCTAATCAAGGTCTATTGTCTGACCATTCGGTGTACTGTACATTGTTAATCTGTTAATCTTACCCCGTTTCTCAATGTGTATAAATCTGGTCGGATGTCATGTTTAGTTTGATCGACTGATCTTCTGATTGATTGATTGTATATTGTTTAACGTCCCTCTCGAGAGTTTTTCACTCATATGGAGAGGCACCATATGCCAGTGAAGGGCTTCAAATTTTGACCTTTACTCGGCACTCAGGGCCATTGAGCAGTGAGGGATCTTTATCGTGCCAACGCCTGCCGCTGACACGGGGCCTCAGTTTTTAAGGTCTCATTTGAAGGATCCGCAACTTTCACTTCAAAGTGCCGAGTGCATGGCGATGGAAAAGTTGCTACCCATTTTAACGACTAGGTCAGTCGCAGCCGAGATACGAACTCACGACCTTCCGATCACGGAGCGAGCGCTGCTGATCTTCTGAAAATCGATTTTGAAATAACAATGATTGACGACCGACTAGATTTTGACAGATACTTAACGCTGCATTATAAAAAAAAATAACGAATTAATTCAAATTATTCAAGTTGTAAAAGTCAATCATTGAAAACATAATATATATACATAACATGTATATCAGGAGCCCCCCCCCCCCCCCAAGAGATTTCTTTTTTCATGAGAACATATGATTTAAAGTTATCGAAGTGAACCTCCGGTCCCGTTTTTTCCCTCTATATAACAAAGCAATTTTACTCCTGCTCTTTCGAACTACTATCTCTTGAACCAAAACTTAGGTCCCATTACACATATTTCATTGAATTTTACTCTCTATCTCTCGAAGTTTTGATTGCGTGTACATACACGTTTATTATTGAAACTTTAGGAATTCGTTTTATTTATTCGCAATACGAACATACATGTAGTTTGTTGATATCAAGTAAATTACTTGTAAAATACGAATAAAAACGTGCAATAACTTTATTTACATATACTTCCGGTATCTATAAAAGTAGAACTTCGACGATCGGAACTGAACATTCCGGATTTCATTAACTTTCTATCTCTTAAACCCCTCGATCTCTCAAACTTTTCTTGGGTTCCCTGAACTTCGAGAGATCGAGAGTCCACTGTATATATTTTGTGTTCATGGATAAAGATAATTTTAAGAACAAATTGATTTTCGGATGATATAAGATGTTTCACAGGGGCTTGCTCCCGGCGTTTAATAATTATTTGTTTAAAAAAATATATATACACTAATAATAAAATCACTGCATGTAATAATTGTAATGTTTTTGATCTATTATTTCAAACGTTTCGATGACCCTAATCAGATTCATAATGGAATAACCCGACACCCCTTTATAATAGACTCTCCCTATAATATAAAATTAAGAGACGCTGAGACACAGTGTCATTCCTGTTAAAGCGAAGAAAGGGATAGGTAATAATTATTTCTAATTTTAACTTCTG